GCAAACAAACCATATTCTCTATCTGATTTGATTATTCGACACTTGTACGATCCGATGACGGGTCTTTTAAGCATTGACGGGCAACAAGTGACATTGGAAAAAGCGCTTAAAGATGGTTTGGTACAACCACAAGATATGGTTATTAATGATCCACGCACCGGTGAAATAATTACATTACTTGAAGCTATTCGACGTGGTATCATTGATCCACGCACCGGAATTGCCATCGATCCACGTTCGGGTCTGAAACTTACATTAGTCGATGCATTCGAAAGAGGCATTCTAATACAATCGAAACGTAAATGTACGTTGCCGGATGCCGTTTTCAAAGGCATTTACGATCCAAAATCCGGTAAATTTAGTACATCACAAACATCGGAAAAACTATCGGCCGAACGTGCCATTCGACGTGGCATCATTGATGCTCAATCAACAATTGTCAATGTAAAAGGTCGTGTGTTACCATTCGAATTGGCGGCTGAGTCGGGCATTGTTGATGTTCGTCGTGGCATGGTTTTCGATGATTACGACAATAAAATTGATTTCCGTGAAGCTTTCGATCGCGGCATTTTAATTGAAGTAAAGAAACCAATCAGTCTTTGTGAAACAATGCTCAAAGGGTTGTATGATGAACAAACTGGTTTGTTTATGGATCCAAAGAGTGGTAAACAATTGACAATTTCTCAATCATTAGGTCGAAATTTGATCGATCCAAATTCGGTTCAAATGAAAGACTTAAGTACTGGTTTATATAGACCAATATCATTGATTGAGGCCACACAAACAGGTCTGATTGACGGTGAAAATGCGCTGATTTTAATCGGCGACAAGCGCATCACATTGCGTGAAGCATTCGATTTGGGTTTGTTAACCGATACAAATGCACCGATAAGCATTCAAAGAGCCATTCATCAAGGTCTCTATGAAAGTAAATCGGGTAAAATTCATGATACAAAATCCGGCCGTAAAATTACATTGCTTGAAGCGATACGGAAATTTACAATCAATCCACAATTGCCGTGCTATTTCAATGAACATGAAGAGACATTATTGTCATTGGGCGAAACGTGCCGTGCACGTCTCATTGATCGTCGTGAAGGCGTTTTCAAAGAACCGAGCAGCGATACATTTGTGCCATTAAACGAAGCAATGGCATTGGGTTTGATTGTTGACATTGAAAATGGTTCATTTGGTTTATACGAAGTAATTGCAATGGGATTGTATAATCGTCACACCAAACAAATCATTCATCCAGTAAATAATCGACGATTAACGTTGCAACAAGCATGCGTTGAAGATTTAGTCAGTCCGGTTGCTTCGCTGGTTAAAGACACTACAACCGGTAAATATTTGAAATTAAATGAGGCTGTTAACGCTCAAATCGTTGACGATACACAAGGTGTTTACATTCATTCAAAGTATACGCTTGATTTGGTTGAGGCACGTAAACGTGGTCTCATTGTTTCCAATCAAAAATTATTGTCGGTGGAAAAAGCCGTTAAAATGATGATTTTAATTGTTGATAGCGGAAAATTCATTGATCCAGCATTAAATGTGTCATTTAATTTACAAGAATCCATCGATAATGGTTTGATTGATGCTGAAACGACTGTGTTCAAAAATTTTGTAACTGGTCAATATAAACCGTTGAAACAAGCCATTGCCGAGGGTGACATCGATGTTGGCAAAGGTAAAGTACTTGATCCCAAATCAAAATTGGCTTACACCTATGACGTTGCATTGGAGAAAGGATTACTTGTTACTATTGATCGGCCGGTTACCGGTCGTTCGATAATTCGTCGTGATAGTATTGATTTAACCATGTCACCCGTATCGAAAACACCACGTGAAATGACGCTACGTGAAGCTATTCGTTACGAAATTATAAATCCCGAAACAACTGTATTTAAAGATCCGGTTACTGGTAAATTTAAAGCTCTCAAACATATTATAAATCACATTGATCCGGAAATTCGTGCTGTTGTCGATCCAAAATCATCGTTCTTTGTATTCGATAAAACATTTGTTATTTATACACGTGAACCAATATCATTTGAATATGCGGTCGAGTCCAAACAATTGAATTTATCAACGGGTAAATTTATCGATTCATTGGACACAACGAAAAATGAATATTTGCTGAAAGATGCGATCGGACTTGGATTCATTGATCCCGAATCGGCGTTAATAAAAGACGGTGCAAAAGGAAAATTAATTCGTTTGCCCGAAGCGTATCGCAAAGGTTTGATTGATGCTGAAAAAGCAAATGTTGTTGATTCAACAACATCGAAATTGTATCCACTACAAAATGCCTACGAAATTGGTCTATTAATCACACCGAAACGCTCATTTGGCTTATTGGAAGCGCTTTCGTTACAATTGTACAACACACATGATGGACAATTTGCCGATCCATTTGCCACAACATCGACTTATACGACCGTCGAACCGTCACAACAACCACAAATAAAACGACACACACTGAACGATGCAATTGCATCCGGTCTTATTGATCCAACAACGACCGTCGTTCGTGACACATCGAACAGTACAATAATACCGTTAACAGCGGCCATTGCATTAAATATCGTTGATCCAACAAACGGACAACTTATTAAATCCGACAACGATAAACTTGATTTGGTAAAAGCACAAGAAAAAGGATTCTTGTTGCCAGCTGAACAACGGGTGAGTTGTTATTGTGATCGCGACACAAATTCGATTAAAAAGCATCCAATTGCATTTTTGCTCTATATATACATTTTTTTTGATGTCGTTTTTTTATATATTCCTACATATATACTTTTTTTGTTCTCATTTTAACTGGTTGTTTTTTTTTTAAATAATTTTACTTAATCGAAAGAAGTTTATGCGTACATATTGGTACTTCTTCTTTCTGCGTTTCTTAATTTAATCAATACTTTTTTTTAATTCATAAAAAAACGCTTTTTTTCGTGCCAATTCAAGATTTCATTGCAAAACAAACAAAACATTGAGCTAACACCTATTTTTTCCTTTTCATTTTCTCACCACACGCACTCACACACATTCTTATGCGCCAAAAATCTTTTTTCTTTCTCTACAAATTTCGGCTTCTCTTTTTGTTTTTTTTTTCTCGCCATTTTGCATGTCTTTCAGAAAATGCATCCATGTTTTTGTCTAATACCAATTTTTCGAAAAATAATCTAAAAAAAATATGAAAACGATTTTGTTTGAAAGTAATCGCTCATAAGAAATTGTCAAAATATCGTTTGAATTTTTTTTATTTGTAAATAGAAACCATTCATTTGAATTTCGTATTTTGATCGATTACATTCAAACAATTGACAAATCCATTTTGTGCTCATTTAATCAAAAACATTTTTTTTTGTTTTAACCTGGTTTTATCATTCTAAAAAAATTCAAAGAAATCCAAATCAAAATTAACCGAAATAAAAATATAAATTTGGAAAACAAAAATCCATAACGATTCATCAAGCGCCGACATAAAGCGCAAATTCAAAATCTGATCATATCATGGTACTAATCCACCAAAAACGCACCAAATTTTTATTTGAATAAATAAGGCGTTAGTCTCAATGCTTCACAAATAGAACCAACAATGAACTTGTTTCGATTCGTAAGCCTCAAAAACAAATCACAATAACAACAAAAGGTTTTAAACCATATTGGTATATCTTTTGCATATTTTCGACATCAAATGCAAAAATAATCAAAAAAAATAAATACATATGCCTTGTATTTTGCTGCTAATCATTTTGTTCTATTTTTTTGACACACAGCTACACACATACAAACCGAGCTCTTTCTCTCTCTTCATTTTTGCCAGTCCATTTTTCATATGACAAAAAAAAAGATATTCTAAAACAAAAAAAAAAAGATCCAAGACGAGGTCACACATACAAACAAAATCATACAAACAAACAAAAACGCCTTTAAATCGTCATCATCATTCATCAATTCAAGAACAAATATTTTCGTTTTTACACTTTTAAATAAATTTAATTTTGCCACATATTTTTTTATATATAAATAGATTTAATAAATGCATGAAATATTTTATTAGTGCACACATTTTATTGGATTGTTAATGCACGTTTATGATAATGGCATGTTTTTAATGCGAAATCGCGGTGTTCTGATTTTAAGTCTTTTTATTTACAGGTTGATTTATTTATGTTTAAATTTTCATTTGCAGCATCAAATTTTCAGCATATTCAAGATTTTTCTTTTTATTTAGTTTAAGAAAGAAACTACAACATCTAATTTAAACTAATTTTTAGTGTGGTGTATTGGGTATTTTTTTCCCCTTTTAATTTGCATGGGGTAGCATAAGATTTATCTTTTGAATGTGAATGTTTTATTTGTATTTCGGTTGGTTATATTGTTGTTCAGCTTATTCTTTGTTTGGTTTTATTGATTATGCCAAAGTCTATATTTATTGTATTGCGTGTGTGTTTTAAGAAACATTTTGGTTGAATTATTTCTTGTTGTATTTTTGGGGTGATTTTCATTAGTTTTACTATAAATGCTTCGGTATTTTTTTGCGATATTCACATAAAATATAAGCGAAGTTGTTTTCAATCTACAGTTTTTGAAATTGACTTCCAAGTGGAGGACAGCTCCGGCTAATTATATTTTATGTGTTATCCGTTGTTGTTTTTCATATGTACTGGCGTTGCTTTTTCAATATATTTTAAGAGACTTTTTTTTGCTACGCATTTTTCTCTATCATCTTGTTGTTTAAAGTGAAAAAAAAAACAGCAGGTATTTTTGAGTTTTCTTTTTATTCTTTCAAATTTCTCTCTTGAGACTTTTGCATTTAAAATAATGATACACATTTCTACCCTTGATTTTGTCATTTTTTTTGCATCATTTACCACTCATTTTTTTTTGGTGTATTCATTTGGGCATTTGCTTTTTTGCATTTCCAATTTTTTTTTTCATTTCAAAACATATTTTCTAATTCGTTTTTCATTTAAATTGTTTATGCCAAGCAGCAAGCAGTCATTGAGAAATTCAATTTGTGCGAGGATAATTTGTCGGGTCTTTTGAAATGGATTGGTCAAATCGAACAGAAAATCGCATCGGTCGGTGGACCAAAGGAATACATTGATGAATTGCGCAATCAAATCAATTTACTCAAGGTAATCAACGCACATTTAAAGAAGAAGTTTTAAAAAGAATTTAATTAAATTGTGAATAAAAATGTCATTAAAACAGCAAATCAAAGAAGAAATCGATGGGCAATCACGACCAGTTGCATCTTGTTTGGAACAAGTGCGTCAACTTGTATTAACTGGAGGTGATGTACTCAGTGCACCAGAAGTAACCAGTCTTGAGAATTCGGGACGTGAACTTCGTTCACGTGTTGACCGTGCACAAGATCGCACATCAAAATTGCTGAAGAAACTAGGTGCAGCACGCGACGAGCTAAGCAAATTGAGGTAATAATGTAATTTACACTGTAGAAGGAGTCGATTATTTATTTTCATTGTCCATTTCAGATCGGAGCTCGAAGTATTCAACACCTGGTTGCAAACAAGTCGTCGTACATTGGAAGATAAAGAACGTGCTCTATCTGATTTGAATCGTTTGGCATCACAATCTGAATCGATACGTGATTTTGTCAGCGATGTTATTGCTCATCAGGCCGATTTGCGTTTTATTTCAATGGCCGCACAAAAGTTCGTCGATGAATGCAAAGATTATCTTGGTACATTAAATGATTTCCGTACATCGTTGCCAGAGCGTTTGCATCATGTTGAACCATTATCGAATTCGGACAGTCCAATTCGTAAGGAAGTTCAATTGGTGTCGGCCCAATACAAGGATTTATTGCATCGTGCAAATGCATTGTCAGACCGTTTGTCTGGTTTGGGTGGTCGTCAACGTGAATATCAAGATGCATTAGATAAAGCAACAAATTGGTTGAAGAGCATTCAGCCACGAGTGAGTGCAGTTTTATCCGATCCAGTAGCAGCTGATCCACAATCAGTACAAGAACAAATGAACGAAACGAAAGCATTACACAAAGAGTTTTTGAATCAAGGCCGTTTAATTGATAATGCACAACAAGCATTGAATGCATTATTGAAATCAATGTCCGGCCAATTGAGCCCATCCGAGGTGTCCGCTTTAGAAGTGCCGGTTGAACAACTTAAGGACAAATATAATCAATTACTAGAATCACTCGGTGATAGATGCAAGTTGTTGGACACGGCACTCGTACAATCACAAGGCGTTCAAGATGCATTGGATGGTCTCGGCAATTGGGTCAATCAAACCGAAGACAAATTTAAATTACAATTCCGTCCAGCTTCGTTGATCAAAGAACGTTTACAAGAGCAAATTCGTGAACATCGTTCCCTTTTGGCCGATTTGGAATCACATCAAGCCAGTATCGAAAGTGTAACAGCATCAGCAAATGATTTAACTGCGACTGCATCAAATGCACGTATTGCCAAAAAGATTCAAGGTAAATTACAAGATGTTGTCGGCAAATACGAGAAATTGTATGACAAAGCACTCAAACGTGGTGAATTCTTGGACGAAACATTGGTTCAACTCGATAAATTCAACGATGAAAGCTCAAGTGTTGAAACTGAATTGTGTAACATTCAAGAGGCTCTTGAAAATCGTGATTTGGTCACACTTTCAGTTGACGAACTATCGACACGCATGAATGAATTGAATCGTATCAAAGATCATATTCGGCCATTGTTCGAGGATTGTGTACATCAAGGTAAAGATTTGGTGGGTAAACGTGATGTTACCGACACTGGACCGGTACGTGATCGTGTCAAAGCATTGGAAAATCAATGGAAAAATCTCGATGTTTCGATCAGTGAAAAGGCCAAATTGTCAAAACAACGTGCCGAACAACATAATGCCTATGAAAATTTGAAGAATCAAGTGAACGCATGGTTGACCAGCATTGAAAATCGAACAAATTCTTTGGCACCGATCGCCATTGATTTGAACACCATTAATCGCCAAATTGAAGAAATGAAACCACTTGCAAAAGAACATCGTGACTATGCACCAACCATTGATAAAATTAATGATTTGGGCACACAATATGATTCATTGATTCGTCCAGAAAGTCCATCACGAAAACGTTCGAGCTATAGTCCAATTAAACGCACAACCGCAAGCCCATTGCGTCGTCTATCGGGCGATGGTCGTTCACCGTCACCTACCAAAGGAAGTCCGTCCGTTTCACCATTGTCACCGGGTGGTTCTAGTGGATTTGGAAGTCGACGATCGTCGCAAGACGGTTTTCAACTTTCCGATTTGTCGCCAATCCAACAGCAACTCAACGAAATCAATAATCGTTACAGTTTGGTCGGTGTACGTTTGAGCGATCGTCAAAATGAATTGGACAGTTTACGTGATGAGGTGAAGAGACATCATGAAAATCTAAAATCACTATCGGCTTTCTTGGACAAAATTCAACGTCAAGTGCCAAAGGATACCATTTCAAATAAGGATGATGCTGAGAAATGTACGCGTCAAGCACGTAAAGTATTGGAAGAAATGTATGAAAAGCAAAGCTTGCTTGACTCAACCAAATCCCAAATTAAAGATTTACTACGTCGCAAACCAGACGTACAGGGTGCTGATCAATTGAAGGCCGAATTAGATGAGGTGGCCGAACGTTGGAAGAATCTCAACGATTTGTGCAAGAATCGAATTGATTTCTCGGAACAAATACGCGATTTCCTCGATACACATGACAATTTGAACAATTGGTTAGTAGCCAAAGAACGTATGTTAACCGTATTGGGACCAATTTCATCTGATCCACGTATGGTGCAATCACAAGTACAACAAGTGCAAGTATTGCGTGAAGAATTCCGTACACAGCAACCACAATTGAAGCATTTACAAGATATTGGTCACAATATTTTGGATCAACTCAATCCAGCTTCCACCGAAAGCAAATCGGTGTCGACGAAATTACAAAATGTACAAGACAAATGGGACGATTTGGTGGGTCGTTTGGATGAACGTGCACAAAGTTTGGGCGCTGCTGCCGATACCAGCAAAGAATTTGATGCAGGCCTTAGCCGTCTACGTGATGCACTACAAAAGATAAGTGATGATTTGGATAAAGTAGCCAGCGACGGTGATCATCAAGAGAATTTACGTAAAATTGACAATTTGGATCGTCAATTAGAAGGTCAACGTCCATTGTTGGCCGATGCCGAAGCAGCCGGTGCTGCATTGTGCAATGTATTGAGCGATCCAGCATCACGTGCCGATGTAAATACACGTCTTGGTGCCATTGGCAAACAATATCAAGCATTGCAAAAGAAATTGGACAATCGTAAAGCCGAAACGGAAGCCGCACTTCGTGATGGCCGTCAATTTGGCGAAAGTTGTGCACGTACATTGGGTTGGTTGTCGGGTGAATTGGGCAATCTTAGCGAACGTTTGCTCATTTCTGCTCATAAACCAACATTACAACATCAAATCGATACACACGAACCAGTTTATCGTGAAGTTATGGCACGCGAACATGAAATTATTATGCTATTGAATAAGGGCAAAGAACTTCAAAATCGGCCCGGCATTCTCAGCAGTGATCGTACGATTCAACGTGATTTGGATAAGATTTCACAACAATGGGAGAAATTGCGTCGTGATGTAGTCGATCGACATTCACGGCTGCAAACCAGCATGGAACATTGTAAGAAATATCTTGTTGCATCCGAAACATTCTTTGCATGGTTGAGATCGGCTGAAGATAAATTGGCTTCATTGAAACCAGGAGTTTTGAAAAAGTCACAGCTTGATCAGCAATTGAAGGATTTACAAGCGTTCCGCAGTGAAGTATGGAAGCGTTCCGGTGAATATGATAATGCACGTGGTCTTGGTGAAACATTCCTTGCATCGTGCGACGTTGACAAAGAACCGGTCAAAGCTGAATTGCAAGACATGAAAGAACGATGGGAAAAATTGAAAAATGACCTTTTGATACGTGAACAAGCGCTCGAATCGTGCGATCGTCGTCTACGTGAATTTAACGATGATTTACGTAATTTGGATAATCGTGTTGGTCGATGCGAAGATCGATTGGGTGCTCATGATGCTTTGGGCGGTGCCGGCAAAGATCCAAAACTATTGGAACGTGTCAAGGCCATCCGTGAAGATGTGAACGAATTGAAGAAACCATTACAATCGTTACGTAAATTGGCCAGTGATATAAATGCCGAGACTCGTGCTGCCGGCGGTGATGCCAATCATTTGGAGGGTGAAGTTGAAGCAATTGGTGATCGCATCGATGATTTACAAGCTCGTTTGGATGATCGTTGTGGTGAATTACAATCGGCCGCCACAGCAGTTACTCAATTCAATGAAAAGGTCAAGAATTTGGGCGTAGATTTAACCGAATTGGAAAATATTGTCGACGGTTTACCAGCACCGGGTCGTGAAATAAAGGTGGTTAAGAGTCAATTGAATGATGTCGATCGTATCATTGGCAAAATTCAACAAGCTGCTGAAAATGTTGACGAAGTTGAACATGCCGGCGAACAATTGGTCGATGCTGGTTTCTCACCAGACACCATTCAAACACGTGAACAAATTGCCGGCCTACGTAAAACAGTGCGTCGTTTGGAAAATCGTACAAGAGACCACGAGGATCTATTGAAGAAGGCTTTTAAACAATTGGAAAACTTCTACGATTCGTACACCAATACAATCGATGACCTCGGTGAAGTGGCCGATGAAATTCGTAAATTGAAACCGGTCAGCTCGGAATTAGATCAAATTCGTAATCAACAAGAGGACTTACGTCATTTGCGCAATAAAGTTGTTGAACCATTGGCCCATACAGTTGCCGAAGTGAATCGTTTAGGTTCTGATCTAGTGCGTACAGCACAAAGCGGCGTTTCAACTGCCGTTCTCGAAAAAGATTTGGAAAAATTGAACGAAAAATGGAATGACATCAAAGAAGCGTTGAATTTGAGAGAACGTAAATTGGATGTAGCTTTATTACAATCAGGTAAATTCCAAGAAGCTCTCGACAGTCTATCGAAATGGTTGGGTGACATTGAAGAAATGGTTGCCAATCAAAAGCCACCAAGTGCCGACTACAAGGTCGTCAAGGCACAATTGCAAGAGCAAAAATTCTTGAAAAAACTTTTGTTGGATCGTCAAAATTCAATGTCATCATTGGCTCAATTGGGACAAGAAGTGGTTAGTAATTGTGATCCATCTGAAAAGGCAGCCATCGAAGGTCAATTGAAAGAGCTTAAAAATCGATTCAATGCACTCACTGATGCAGCCGAAAATCGTACACGTGATCTTGAAGAAGCAATGAAAGTGGCCAAATTATTCCAAGACCGTCTCATACCGTTGACACGTTGGTTAGACGGAACTGAACGTGCCATTAAGAATATGGAATTGATACCAACCGACGAAGAGAAAATCCAACAACGTATTCGTGAGCATGATGCATTGCATGATGAAATTTTGGGTAAAAAACCCGATTTCTCCGAATTGACCGACATTGCGGGTCAATTAATGGTGTTGGTTGGCGAAGATGAGGCCATTGGTTTGGGTGAAAAGGTTCGTGGTATTACCGATCGTTATACCAATTTGGTCGATGCCAGTGATAATGTTGGTCAATTATTGGCCGAATCACGACAAGGATTACGTCATTTGGTATTGACGTATCAAGAATTGATTGCCTGGATGGAAAGTATGGAACAACGTTTGGCACGTTATCGTGTCATTCCAGTGCATACCGATAAATTGCTCGAACAAATGGACATTTTGGTTGAATTGAATGAAGACATTGCTCGACGTGCACCAAATGTTGAATCAACCGTTGAAGCCGGTTCCGAACTTATGAAACACATCACCGCCGACGAAGCCATTCAATTGAAAGATAAATTGGATTCGATTCAACGTCGTTACGGTGAGCTCACCAATAAAGGTGGTGATTTGCTTAAGAGCTATCAAGCCGCTTTGCCAATTGTACAGAAATTCTACGATGCCCATAATCGTTTGGTTGAATGGATGCAAGGTGCTGAAGGTGCATTGGCCACAGGAGATCCACGTGAAAGTGATATTTTACGTTTGGAAGGTGAATTGAGCGAAATGCGACCAGTGCTCGAAACTGTTAATTTGGTTGGACCACAATTGTGCCAATTATCACCGGGCGAAGGTGCTTCGACTATTGAAAGTTTGGTTACACGTGACAATCGTCGTTTTGATGCGATTGTCGAACAAATTCAACGTAAAGCCGAACGTTTACATCTCAGCAAATTGCGTTCAAAGGAAGTTACCGGCGATTTGGATGAATTACTTGAATGGTTCCGTGATATGGACGCTTCATTGCGTGACGCTGATCCACCAGCAATGGAACCAAAATTGGTGCGTGCACAATTACAAGAGCATCGATCAATTAATGATGATATTTCAAGCCAAAAGGGTCGTGTACGTGATGTAACAGCTGCGGCCAAAAAAGTCTTACGCGAATCCCAACCAAATGACAATACAGTTGCATTGCGTGAAAAATTAGAAGATTTGAAAGAAGTCGTTGATACAGTTGTTAATTTGTGTGCTGAACGTTTATCGATTTTGGAACAAGCATTACCATTATCCGAACATTTTGCCGATTCGCACAATACATTCACGTTGTGGTTGGACGATATGGAACATCAAATATCGGTGCTTAGCATGCCAGCTTTGCGTCCCGATCAAATTGCCATTCAACAAGATAAAAACGAGCGTCTCGTTCAATCGATTTCCGAACACAAACCATTGCTGGACAAACTTAACAAGACCGGCGAAGCACTTTCTGGTCTCGTTGCCGACGAAGATGCTGCCAAAATACACGAAATTCTTGACAACGACAATGCTCGTTATGCCGCACTCCGAACTGAATTGCGTGAACGTCAACAAGCATTGGAACAAGCATTACAAGAATCCAGGTATTTATTCACATTTACACTATTTTTTCTCACACATTTTTGCTTTACTAATTTTATGATTTTATTCGTGTAGTCAATTTGCCGACAAATTGGAAGGAATGTTGCGTGCGCTATCAAATACTGCTGATCAAGTGAATCAATCTGAACCAATATCGGTTCATCCACCAAAGATTCGCGAGCAAATCGAAGACAATGCCGCAATCATCGATGATTTGGACAAACGTGAAGATGCATATTCGACTGTACAACGGGCTGCCAACGATATTATTGCCAAGGCTGGTAATAAATCCGATCCAGCTGTTAAGGATATCAAAAATAAACTTGACAAACTCAATAAATTATGGAATGATTTACAAAATGCAACATCTAAACGTGGTGCCGCATTGGACGATGCACTAACGGCAGCCGAGAAATTCTGGCGTCAATTGCAAGAGGTGATGGAAACATTAAAGGATCTTGAAGAAACGTTAACGTCACAAGAGCCACCAGCCGCTCAACCGGCCGAAATTAAGAAACAACAAATTGCATTGCAAGAAATCCACCAGGAAATGAACCAAACGAAACCCGATGTTGAGCAAGTGCGTCGCAATGGCAACAATTTGATGTTGTTATGTGGCGAACCAGAGAAACCAGAAGTTAAGAAACACATCGAAGATTTGGATCATGCTTGGGATAATATTACCGCATTGTATGCAAGACGTGAAGAGAATCTCATCGATGCCATGGATAAAGCAATGGAATTCCATGAAACATTACAAAAACTATTGGAATTCTTGGCCAAAGCCGAAGATCGGTTTGTCAATTTGGGTCCAATTGGCGCTGACATTGATGCCGTTAAGAAACAAATCGAACAACTTAGACGCTTCAAAGACGATGTCGATCCATATATGGTTGAAGTTGAGGCTTTGAACAGGTACGATTTTTATTTTAAAAGTCATTTCTATATTTTAACAACAAACAAACAAATTTAAATGTTCAATTACTCAACGTATCATTATACTCTTCTCATGCCAATCATTCATATCATCAAACGCTCTGAAGGGCTATCGGAAGGCAAGACCATTTTTAATCAATAAATTGATGTTGTTTGTGTATTAGTTTTTTTTTGCCAAAAGTCACTTTAGCAATCCCTGGAATGTTACCGCATTTTTATTTTCATTCAAACAGAATCGATTTTTTATGATATTCAGTGAAACAAATTTTTTTTTTGGAATAATATACATTTTTTTTCCATTTTTTATTTAAATAACTTTACAAATTATTTCACCAAAATTAACTTTTCTTCATTTCATTTAATCGTATGATTTATATGTGTATCTTGTGATTGCAACAATCAAAATGTATGTGAAATTAATCGATATTCGATTTTCTCATTTGATAAAAAATAGACAAGCCATCGATTTGACAGAACGAACAACACCTGAGCAAGCAGCTTCAATTCGTGAACCATTGAACACAGTGAATCGTCGATGGGAGAATTTGTTGCGTGGTATGGTCGACAGACAAAAGCAACTTGAACATGCACTGTTACATCTCGGTCAATTCCAACATGCCCTCAACGAACTTTTGGTATGGATTAATAAAACCGACAACACACTGGATCAACTCAAACCCGTACGTATTTCAATTAATAATATTCTCTCATTATATGAATAAAAAATACTAATGTTTACACATTTTTCCACAGATTCCTGGCGATCCACAATTGCTCGAAGTTGAATTGGCTAAATTGAAGGTGCTAGCAAATGATATCCAAGCGCATCAAAGCTCCGTTGATACACTCAACGATGCTGGTCGTCAATTGATCGAAAGCGAACGTGGTTCGACCGAAGCATCAACCACACAAGAGAAACTCAGTAAATTGAACAATCAATGGCGTGAATTATTGCAAAAGGCGGCCGATCGAAAACATGAACTCGAAGAAGCATTACACGATGCCCAAACGTTCATTGCCGAAGTGCAAGATATTCTCGGTTGGTTGGGTGATGTTGATGCTGTAATTGGTGCAAGCAAACCAGTCGGTGGATTACCCGAAACCGCATCCGAACAATTGGAACGATTCATGGAAATTTTTAATGAATTAGAAGAGAATCGTCCAAAGGTTGAAACATTACAGGCTCAAGGTCAAGAATATCTCAAGAAACAAGAACAATTGAAAAAGACACCATCAAGCAATTTACAACACACATTGCGTACATTGAAACAACGATGGGAAGCGGTTTTGTCACGTGCATCCGACAAAAAGATCAAATTGGAAATTGCATTGAAAGAAGCCACTGAATTCCATGATGCACTTCAAGCATTCGTTGAATGGTTGACATCGGCCGAAAAACAATTGGCCAGCGCATCGTCTGTGTCGCGTGTTCTTCAAACCATTCAACATCAAATTGAAGAACATAAAATTTTACAAAAAGACGTGTCCATTCATCGTGAAGCAATGCTATTGTTGGACAAAAAGGGAACACATCTAAAATACTTTAGTCAAAAACAAGATGTAATTTTGATCAAAAATCTATTGGTATCGGTGCAACATCGTTGGGAACGTGTTGTTGCCAAAGCAGCCGAACGTACACGTGCACTTGATCACGGTTACAAGGAGGCCAAAGAATTCCATGATGCTTGGCATAGTTTATTGACGTGGTTACGTGAAACCGATGCCAATCTTGAACAATTAGCCGAAGAAGCGGCGGCCAGCAACGATGCAGCCAAGATTAAGAAACATTTGGATCGTTTGAAGGATACACAACGTAATTTGTCCGGTAAACAAGGTCAATACGATACGACAATGCGAAGTGGAAAGAATCTCATTGATCGAGCACCAAAGAGTGATGAACCAACTCTAGCGGGTATGTTGACCGAATTGAAAGAAGCATGGACACGAGTATGCTCGAAGAGTGTTGATCGTCAACGTAAATTGGAAGAAGCTCTTTTGTTATCTGGCCAATTCTCTGATGCCTTACAAGCTCTGCTCGATTGGTTGCGCAAAACAAAGAATCGCCTATCCGAAGATGGGCCAGTTCATGGTGACCTCGAAACGGTTACACAATTGGTTGAACAGCACAAAACTTTGGAATCCGATTTGAGTAAACGTGCCACACAAATGCAAAGCGTATTGAAAACGGGCAAAGAACTTGAACGCAACGATAATAATCGTGAAATTTCCAAATCACTCAATGAAGTACAACGTTTATGGAGCGATGTCACCGATTTGAGCGAACGACGTGGCCGAAAACTGCAAGATGCTCTACGCGAAGCTGAACGTTTGCACAAACAAGTGCATATGCTACTCGAATGGCTATCAGATGCTGAACAAAAACTTCGGTTTGCCGCTTCGATACCAGATGATGAAGCGCATGCACGTGAATTGCTCAATTTGCACACACAATTCCAAAAGGAATTACGCGAAAAAGAATTCGAAAAAGATGACACCATTCGATTGGCAAATAGCATTTTGGACAAAGCACATCCGGACGCCATTCCAATCATCAAGAATTGGATTACAATTATTCAATCACGATGGGATGAAGTGTCACAATGGGCCATCAGCCGGGAAAATAAACTGAAAGGACATTTACAAACATTACGCGATTTGGACGACTCAATCGAAGAACTGTTGGCCTGGTTGACTGGACTCGAAGCAACATTACTTAGTAAGAACAAATTTGAAGTATGCAGATGGAAACTGGTTTATTAATACGTTTTTTTTTCTTTTTAATTAAATAATTTTATAGACTTGGAACGTGAACCATTGCCGGATGAAATTCCAGCAGTCGAACAACTTATTGCCGATCATAAAGAATTCATGGAAAATACTGCTCGCCGTCAACCAGAAGTGGATCGTGCATGCAAACCAAAAGTACCACCAGCAGGCACAAAAGAACCAGCCGGCCGTAAACCATCACGACAACTCAAGACACCAGTGTATGTATTCTTTAATTTGCCAATTTGCACCGATTTCTATATTTAAAAAAACCGCACCAATGTTTTTGTCTATGTTATTACACTTGTCCGAATATGTATGCATCGGAACCACATATTTGCAATTTAAACAAAAACTTATCCCTTTGCCACTTTCCAAATCCCCAGCACAATTGTATGGCTGTAAAAACGTCTTTAATGAAATCCTACTAGTATAAGTGTAACCGAATTCGAGTTTTTTTTAAACGTCACAGAAAATGTTCTTAGTTTTTGAATCGTCAAATGACGATGAACAAAATCATATTTCCTTCTGGCTAGACAAAACATCGGAAACACTTTTAAAAAATGTACCTAATATTCGTGCATCATTTAAGAAAATGAAACATCTGAGTTTACTTTTACAAATAAAAAAATAGCTCAAGAGAGTTTCTTATCAGGTTGCAGCTAAATGGCACGCCAAGTTTGAGAATTGAAAAAAAAACATTTTTTTTTCGCGACTTTTTGTCATTTTTTTTTTAATTCTACAGTTTTATTAGAAAAATAACATATAATTTGAAATGATTATTTTGATAAAACTCTTGTCTATGGGCTCATGAATGGATGTGAATTAAGTAAACAATAGCCTATCACGCATTCTTCACACCGTGATATTAGCATAAATTCCGCGCATTTTTGATAAAGACATTCTTTTTGAACCATCACCTTTTTGGAACTTTGTAACGATTCCTTGTAGATCTACATCCATATCGTCTGTAAATTCATTTAGATATGATTCACGGATGTTACTTCTCTTCTCTGTTTTCACATAATTTGCCATTGGAATTTGTGTCTGATGTATGGGTATTCTTATTCGCTGAAACCTTCAAAACGTCCAGAAAATGTATATATTCTGCTTGAAGCAGTAGCCCTTCTCCTGGACAGCCTCCAACTCCACCCTTTCCGCCGATACCATTGACACCTGTATCGTTTATAAAAATGATAGGAAATACACCGCTCTTTATTAAGCTTATTTTCGATAACTTGCCTTTATTTTTTGAAATGTTAAATTGTGGTTGCTTTTTGAAACATGAATTCAGAATATTTCCAGGGCTACCGCCCACACCACCACAACCACCCTTTCCACCATCGCCATCGATTTTTTATGACCATTTTAGAAATATTTTATGATATTTTTGGGGGTATTTCGTGACGATTTTCGTGGTTTTAATGCCATTTTTGGTTGATTCGTACAATTTGGTATTGATGTGATTGTTTACTTAAGCTGAAGTCATTACGTCACTAGCAAAGTTCGTTTACTCGTTTTCGTTTAAACCGCTAACTGTTTAAAACTGATTTTACCGACACAGTCATTACTTGCTTAATAGCCTATTCAAAAACATAAGTGCCAACATCTGGCCATTCTGTCGTTTTGCTATTCTTTCAAACTAAACAGTTCATGTATGTTCACGAATTTAAATAATTCCGATAGATGTTGAATTGTGAATGATTATTGCATCACGATAAAATTCCCACTTTTGATTGTCGGTTAGAATTACCGGTTTCTTCAATATCATTCAATGCCATGCAGAGACATTTTAACGTGCACGTGAGGTCATGCACGTAGCAATGTCTCCGTATATACATAAACGGGCAAAAAGAATTCTTTTAAAATTATTATTGTTATTGAGTCTAGTCTTTCAATCAATCGCAGTATTTTTTATGTCCTTTTTTTAAATTTTGCATTTTCTGCGGTCGAAAGACCTGTTTGCAAAATTATGTATTTGATGAAACTCTGGGAGACCCGGTGATGATGCACACAAACAATATATATTGGGCCATTTTTTATTCTAGAGCTCAGATGATTCATTTATTTAAAAAAAAATGATGCACAAATACTAAAAAACTTTTTAAACTGTTTCCGATATTTTTGTTTTGCCAAAATTGATTTTGTTCGTCGACATATATTTTGACGATTGACTTAAAACCAAGAAAATGTTCTGTCCAATCTTTAAACGAAAACTTGAATTCGTATACACTTATGCGTGTAAGATTTCATTGAAAACGTTTTTTTTTTCACAGCCATACAATTTATTATCCACCGCTTTGAACCTTTTGCACACGTTTATTGATTTATTTCCACCATTCCTAATTGCACCGAAAAATTTGTAGTATTATTTTTGTTAGTTTGTAAATGTTTGTATTTTTCCTCCCCGACACACTTTTTTTGATTGTCACAATTTTGTTTTGCATGAAATTGCACATACTGTAGACGTGGATCAAGACATGATATCCGTGACCAATCACCAGAATATGGTACAATGGGTAGAAAACAAAGGTTTGTCAAAATAGAATGGTATTTGTTAGTGCATGCCATTATTTTATGATTATTTTCTGTCACGGCGATTCAACAAGTCAAAAGACACGAAAAAAGCGCGTTCTTCATTTGAAAGCTGTTTTTACTGTAAATATGTTGAAATGTCGTTTCGCTTAGATTTAATGCATGTAGTAGACCGTCAATGTTCTACACAATATTTGTTTAAAAAGTTAGCTTGCTTTGAAAATGTTGCATTCATTGTGGGAATTTTTGTTTTAAATTTTTGCAAACAGCTTCAAAGGATCTCGTGATCAGGGTCTCAATGCACGTAGAACAAGGTTCGTTTTGAATTGACCAATTAATTCATTTTTTTTTTGTTTTTTCTCTCGTGTTCGATTGAATATGAAAATTGTATGTCTGGTTTTTGTTTTGGAAATTGGCCTTTTGAAATTCATTTTCTTTGTATTACAAAAAAATTCAAAATCTTTCGGTTTTTCTTCAATCTATACGGACAATTTTCGACCAATCAATTTATCATCCATCTATCTCTCTCTCCATCTCTCTATTTCTTCATTTTGTTTCTCAATTGGATATTGTTGTTAAACAGTCGCGCTAGCCCAGCACGTGATACTCCCGAACGTGAACGCTTGCCACATTACGGACCAAGATTCCCTCAACAAAGGTACTTCCCCCAAAATCAATTGGTTTATTTTTACTAACTTTTCAAAATTGATTCCAATTCGCAACGTTTTTTTTTTATTTGTAATTAACATTGTGAAAACAAAAATTGACGCTTTTTTTCATCAAATCATTCATTTTGTTGGATATAAGTTTGCTTTTGCTTTAAAGAAAAATCTGCCATTTCATTCTTATTTAAAAAATTTGAGTGCTGCAATTTTGAAAAATGTGTTTTTTTGTTCGATTATCAGCAGTGGTGCCGAAATGGAATTCCGTTCACCACGCGCTCACACATTGTGGGATAAATGGCGCCACGTGTGGATGTTGGCATGGGAACGTCAACGTCGTCTTCACGATCATTTGATGCATTTGCATGACTTGGAACGTGTTCGCCAATTCAGTTGGGACGATTGGCGCAAGCGAGTAAGTTTCAATTATATTAATTCAATCTCGAACAGCATACATCTAACATTTAAATCTCTTTTTTTTTTGTGTGTGTAGTTCTTGAAATTCATGAACCACAAGAAATCACGCTTGACAGATTTGTTCCGTAAAATGGACAAGGATAACAATGGACTCATACCTAGAGACATCTTTATCGATGGCATCATCAATACCAGTATGTATTTTATACTACTGTTTTTCATATTATCCACACAAAAAAAAAACGAATTCAAATAAAAATAACCTTTTGCAGAATTCGATACATCACGTTTGGAAATGGGTGCTGTCGCCGATTTGTTTGATCGCAATGGTGAGGGACTCATTGATTGGCAAGAATTTATTGCAGCCCTACGACCCGATTGGCAAGATCGCAAACCACCAAGCGATGCCGACAAAATCCACGATGAAGTCAAACGTTTGGTCATGTTGTGTACATGTCGACAGAAATTCCGTGTCTTCCAAGTTGGCGAAGGAAAATACCGCGTAAATATAATTTTATTTTACAAATTTCAGCATAAAATTAGAATGCTTTACAAGATATTTTCTTCTTGTTATTGTAGTTTGGTGATTCGCAAAAATTGCGACTTGTTCGTATTTTGCGTAGTACTGTGATGGTTCGTGTTGGCGGCGGTTGGGTAGCTCTCGATGAATTCTTGATCAAGAACGATCCATGCCGAGGTATGTTTTCATTTGCTGATATTCTAGTCATTTTATTTCAATTTATTTCCTAATTTTAAATGAAAAATTTTGAAATATTGAAAAAATTTAATTATTTTATTCAATTAAATATATTTAGACAGAAAAAAAAATATATTTTTATTATAAATCACGAATATACACACAAAATTGAAGATGCCAATCATGAAAAAAAAATATATATATAGCAAAACCGAAAACGCTAAACATTTTAGTGGAAATGCTCATTTATTCAACTAAAAATCTAAATTTTAAGCATCAACAACTGGAAATGGTCATTTAATTAATATTGCTAAAAAACAAATGTTAATCCAAATATTAATTCGGTTCGTTATCCTCAACATATATGCCTGCATCATTTTGTCAAACAAATTAAATCCATCGAATCGAATGATGCGAATTTAACACTATCTCCTCCCCCTCAAAACAATGCATCTAATTTAATTCATTTTTAAAAACAAAATTTATTTACTAAATAATGCCAATGACATTTTCCCATGCAAGAAACATTTATTTATTAATTTTTGAATATTTTCTGCTTAAAGAATTCATTTGTACTTTTTCTCAACATCAAACAAAAATATAATAACTAACCGTAATTTTTTCTCTTTTTTCTTTCTATTCCTAACTTGTGATATGGGTTAATTATGAAAATTCGAATCGGTACTCCAATTATACGTACATTAAATAATTTCTTATGTGCAATCTTTTCCATCGAATTGGAATCGTTTATATGTATCGACGCTCTCATCATTTTTTCTCTCAACACACAACCAACCAATTCAAATTATTTAATTTTTCTTATATAATTTCTTTTTCTCTCATTGTATTGTTCTTCTTTTTATTTCATGTTGTTTTTTTTTTCTCTCAAAAATCAATTCTGCTTTCACAAATGAACCAACAAAAAAAAAACCACGTATTTTGAATTATTTGTTTTTTTTTTATTTTATTTTTTTATGGAAATTCGACTGTACATTGTTGAAATTGGTTTTTTATCATCAATTTTCCGTTTGAATTTTGTTTGGAATGGTTTTTTATGACAATTTTTAAATGCATGTTTTCACATATTGAATATTTTTGCCCTCCGCCTCCCCTAAATTTTGCGTGTTTTCCTCACAATTATTCGCGTTAAAATGAACTGTATTCCGATTGTTGTTGGGTAAAGTGACAATTGTTCTACCGTTGCCAGACCCACACAATCCTCAAGAACACGAAGCCTGTTGTCCATTGTGTAAGATTATTTTTGTTTGTTCTTTCTATTCGTTATGTCAAATCGTTTCACTTGTGGTTGTGTCGAAAATCGATTTTGAAACAGCGCAAAATTTTACACAATGATTTTCATCATCGCACATATATGAAATGTGTTTTCGTAAACCTTCCAAACTCCAATTGTCCTGGTTTTTTTTTTAAATTTGTTGTGTGTGTTTTCTCTCTTCAAATCTGTTGCATGTTTGAATATTTTTTAAAAAAACAATATCACTTTCTTTGAGTTTAAATCATATAATTTTTGAATTAAAAATCGCCTAGTCTATTGAGCGGTTTGTATAGTATTATTTTGTAGAATGTAGAACATTTACCATTAGTACACCCAAGTGGAAAAAAAGTGACTAACTTACTATTGACTGTAAGTGACTATAGTTAGCTATATTCATGAATTTTAAAATTTTGTATAGAAAACAATCGACTATAGTTACTCAGTCAGTCGGGCGATTATTTTGGGACGTTTTGACTATCGGGTGACTATGATTATTGTCAACTAAAGTTAGCTGTTGCAGTCAACCATATCTTACTTTAATTGATTGAAGTTAAATAAATTTAACTAAGGTTGCTTGTTTTTACAGTCAACAGTCAGTCAGTTTGTCCCAAAATAGTCAGTCACTTTTTTTGTACACGGGCATAGTCACTACTTCAGTAGCATTATATATGTATATGTGTATCTAACTCCATAATCAAAACAAAACAAAAAAAATCGGCATTCAAATATCGGCCGGTTCTTCTCTTCTATCTCTTGATTTGATGTGGTAAAACTGAAAATTTAAACAAAGGTAAATGACACAATCAACAATCATCACTCCTTTCGAAAGACCATTCAAAATTCATTTAAATAACACATTAAAATGAAATGACAACATACATTATAAACAAAGCTCCTTTGCATGCACACATACACACACTTACACCACACAGTTGAAAATACATATATATATTTTTTGTTCGCTTTCTCAAATATCAACACAATTTGTTTTCATATTATAAAATTCAAACTAAAATACGCTTGAGCAAACTAATTTTTGTTTTCGTTCCTAATATCAGATTTAATTACAATATGAATTGGCATTGTTTTCACGTTTTTTATGCTTTTGGATATGCAATTCCATTAGAGAGTTTATGGCATATATTTTTTTTTGACACATTGTGTGAATATTTTTTTTATTGACAAACAAATTTAGAAATAATTTTGTGTATATATTGCAAATTTTTATTTTGGTTTCGTTTTGTAAATTCCCACTCGTATGACTTTTGGATTTTTTTTTTTGTGTGTTGGCTAAAGCAATCCAGGTACAATTCGTATTTGTGCCTTGATTGCGATTGCCTTTGAAAGCAGAAATTTTTAAAGCCTGATTTTTTTTTTAATTTAATTTTAAGTTGAGTGCTGTGGTCACACTAACTACTTAGGCTATTTAATTTAGTTTTTGATCTTTTTTTTTAATTTTGTATTATTTATTAATTTTTTTTTTCGATTTTCGTTTGTTTTTTCTCTTTCTCTCCCATTCTTTTTTTCTTTTGTTTTTTTCTTATGGTTTGTTTTTTTTTGGTATTAATTTTTTTTTTTAATTACGACGATAAAACACATGTATTTCGTGCACAAATTCGAATTTGCTAAAATAACACCACAATCACCAATGTAAACATAAACACATACGCTGATTTGTGCTACGCGCTCGCGTTTCTAAACCAATTTAAAAAAAAAAACCACGATTTTCGCACAAAAACATAACGATTTCATTCTATAATTGTATTGTCAAATAATTAATACTCATTTGCTCTATTTTATGTTATTTGTAAATTCGATTATTACAAAATCTCTTTATACACACACGTACACCAAATCAAACACACTACACATTTATACATATACGCACACAAAAAAAAACATCATTTCCAAACTGGATTCATGTAATTGACGACATAAATCTGAAATACCGACCGAATACGCACCACTTTAACACATAATAACCCATTCAAATCGACATCTTGAACAATAATAACAACAAAATCAAATTTAAAATCCATACCACCCCCGTCCATACCGAAACAAACAAACAAAAACAAAAAATCACGAATCATGACCTTCATTAGCCAAGGGACGCACAAACATCGAACTACGCGAACAATTCATATTGGCCGATGGTGTATCACAATCAATGGCCGCATTCAAGCCACGTATGTCATCAGCTGGTTCAACACAGAATGGTTCGCATGCATCGTCACCAATCAGCACTCAGGGACCAATCACCAAGGTAAATGTTTAAACTGTCTCTAAAACCAAAACCAAAAAAAAAAAAAAAAAAACATTCAAAAACGAAGCGAATCACAAAAAAAGCAAACAAACGTCAGTTGAAATCATAAACGCCAACGATTATCAAAAGGTATGCAATAATTTAGGTAGACTCAGTGAGACATTTGATGTGTTTCGACACAATGACAGACGACACAAATTTGAAATTGGTGTTATTTTGTTTTGTTTTCTTATTCTCGAACTATTTTTTAAATGCAATTTTTTTTCCGATAATATTCTATTGTACAAAATGTATAGAATGTTAGACACCAAAGCATGAAAACAACAAACAAAAATTATACGGTACTCTTTTAAATCGGTGGTGATGGTCAATCAATTTTGAGTAAACCTTAGCTAGAGCCAACTGGTTAGTTGAACGTGCGGAAGAACGGTCAATAACAGTTGTTGAGTAGTCAGCTCGAGCTAAGGTTTGATTTTGAGTAGTTCTAAGCGACACTTCAAGTCAGATGGAAATTTTTTAACCGAAATAACTTTTATCGATGAATTCAAAAAATTGCCATCTGACTATTGTAGTACTTAAATAAATAGTAAAAAGTAAAAACAAGTGAATTGTTCATTATAAATGGACAAACAAACTTGATATGCACTGCACACAGGTCTCTCTCTCTCTCTCTATTTCCCTCTATTGGAAGTAAGTAAATGTCGGCAAGTCGGGATTTTTGGTGAGTATTTGTCGTAAGGAAACTCCACTTCAGTAGAATATTTCCATAGATCATAGAATAAACCTATATGTACAAAAAAAGAAAGCATGCGGCATTTCTGATGTGTCCCTTAATTCTATTGGAATTTGTCATTGTTTTTGGTTTTTTGAATAATTTCGATTTTTCTGTTGTGTTTTATTTTGTTTTTGTTATGTTGCATCATTTGATTTAATTCGTCATGCCGGGGAATGAGTGTTTTTGTTTTTCACAAAATAAATGAAATTGTATCGTTAAGCAGCATTTTTTTTAAAATGCAAAAATCCCTTGATGTGTGACATAAACAAAAAAATGACTAGCGATAATATTAAATGATCATTTGCCTTCGTTTGAGCAAAACGCAATGTTTGAAGCGTCACTTCACTTTTCGTGGTATCGTCGTGGTGGTATAACAGTCATCATAAACAAAAATTCGAGACAATGTTCATCAATTTTTATTATTATTTTTTTTTTCTTTTATTGCAACAAATTATTTTCAAATCGAATTTCAAACAAAAAAAACGAAAAATTTGATGAAATTCAGCCGACGAACATTTAGCCGAATTAATGCCAATATTTGAACGTTTGCGTGCTCAAGAGCAAATACCATGTGTATATCCACTTCATATGGGTGCTGGTGGAACAGCATTCATTCGTGGTGGAAGTTCACGTTCAACTCCACTTAGCCCACATGCTCCACATTGCCATCCGTCGACACATTGGGTAAGTTAATTTTATCTTGTTTTCGTTCGTGTTGTTGTCTGTCTGTCTGCCGCTTCAAAACTGTATGGACTAAACCGTTGACAAATAATCAAATAAACCGTAGAGCTCCGTTACCATTTCTCCGAACGAGAAACAAATATTAACTCAATAAAATAAAAACTGTGTTTGATGCTGCAACTAAAAGTAAATTGACTGAGAGTAGCCAATTTTCTAGATGAAAAAAATAAAAAAAATAAAATATATTGCTACGGATTACTATGAACATCAATAATATGAGATTTATTTTAGAATTAGTCGTGTTTATTGCAATAATGACCGAAATTGTTTGCTTCCTTTTGATTTTTGCTTTGAAAAAAAAAAGATATAATAACAAACTTTTTTTTACAACAGATTCTAATTTCGCATGGCAATATTTGATTGCATTTATCATAAATTAAAGTAATATTTAAATTTTTCGTTAATAAACAAAAGGTTCGCGAAAAATCATCTCGTTCGGTGGCCATGTCACGACCATCACGATCATCATTGTCAGCCTCAACGCCAGATTCATTGAGTGACAACGAAAGCAGCTTAGGCGGACGTTATACACCACGTAAACCATCGTATACACCAAGCCGAGGTTTTACACCGGGCGGTTCAAAACCAAATTCACGACCAGGATCAAAACCACCATCACGACATGGTTCATCATTGTCACTTGACAGCACCGACGACGCAACACCGACGCGCATTCCACAAAGACGTCTTGGTTCAACGACACCAAGCGGCAGCTCACAGAGACCATCGAGATTGTCTGTGACCGGTTCAACGATAACCAAAGTCACCGGTAACGATGGCATTTCAGCGTTTGGTAGCACAATTTCACGCCCAAGAACACCTTCCAATTCTGCCAGCCCGGCACCAACGAGGTAATTCATCATTTATTTTATTCTTCCCAAAATGCAATACACATTTTCAAATGTAATCACACTTTATCACGGTGTGTGTAATGGTAAATCTATCAATCTTAATCTAAACATTAACATTTAAAAAAAAAAAATCTTTTTAATTTATAAATAAGTCTAAACACTAAATTTTCTTCCATTTCATGCAAACATATTAATCCAAATACACGAAACCGAAACACAAAAACACTCAACAAATACTTTACTATGCTCAAATAATCAAAATCTACAAATCTAATCCAAATAAACACAAAACTCAAATCATGCATCTTGAATGTTGCTCGCTATGTCAGGAATGGCAGCATAAGTAGATCATCAAGTATACCAACGCTGGTATCAGGTATTCCAACAAGGTAAATAACAACAAATTAACATTTGATTTAAAAAAAAAAAAAACAATGCACATATATAACGATAACACAATAAAACTGTCGCTCTTCCCTTTTTGTGGCGACACCAAAATAAACTTTAATTTAAAAAAAAAAACGATATCTAACTAAGGTTTAATGTTCTCTCTTTCTCTCTATTTTTTATCTATTCATTTTCTTTGCATTGAATGCATCTAAACAATCATAATTAATCAATCTATTTGGTGCGTGGCAAATTAATTGCTCGTTTAAAAAAAAAAAACACAAATACAAACATACGTAAAACTGAAATCAAAATGATTAGCACAAGTCGATCACGAATTCCGGTATCAGTTCGTCAAAAATCATTGGATAAACAAAGCCCAATAACATCGCAACCATCACAGGCGTTCGGTTGCTCATCAACGGGGTAACTTATTGAATGCATGTTTTTAATCAACGATCCACCAGACGATATGATCCTGTGTTCAAAATTAACATTTTGCTGTTGTTGTTTGTTTTTTTCCTTTTTTCTCTCACACTCTTGATTTTCGATTCAAATTTTCGCCGTTTTTTTTTCTTCCCGCCAAATAAATTGAGTTGTTGTTATTATTCCGAATTTTTACCAAACTTCTGAAAAAAATTCAATTTTTTTTTGTTCAAATAATTTGCTGTTGTTTTTTCGCACTTTACCAAAGCCAAATTAAAACAATCGGCTGGCCTTATGTTTGACATCAATTGATGTGCAAAAAGAATTGATTGTGAACAGTTTTCTAATTTTCTTTTGTATTTAATTTTCACATAGACGAAATGTGAGCGGAAGTACGACACCATCCGGTATGAGAACACCACGAAAACCATCAGCTGATCCAGTATTACCATCATCGGAACGTAAAGGAAGCCGTGGAACAACACCGAGCGGCACACGGGAACCATTTCGACTATAAATCACATCTCTAACAAAATACAATTTCGAAATAGCACCGCATTTATACACACATTTCCTTTTCGAAAGGAAACCATTTTAGAACCAACAACATATAGATATTAACAATATAATCAAAAAACAAAATCGAAACAGTATGACACATATTCACACATACATACATACACACATCGAACCGACATTATACCCGGATCAAAAACAAAATTATATAGTTATTCAATTGCTGAATATCGCACGATTTTAAAAGAAAAATTCTATATGGTTCCAAACAACAAATTAGGAGAAAAAAACCAAATCGAAATATGAAAAGAAGTAGAACGAATTAAATTTGCTCATCATTTGGCCATACGTTTTATACGCAGGACACATTTTGTGAAAATTGTATGTAAAAAAAATAAAACCAGCATGAAGAAGTAAGGCGGTCTCTTTTCAAAAGGAAAACCAACGACATCATCAAGAAAAAAAAATGTAGTTACAAAAAAATAAATTAACAATTATAAATACTTTAATATGTATAAAAAAAAATAACATCGTTAAAATCTACTAATATATCGAATACAACAACAAAATGAAGAAAAGTATTAAATTTGAAGGGAATTGGAGGTGAAATAGAAAGTGAATCGTGTCGATGCCTCAATTGCAACTGATCGCCAGCAGTTCAATAACAACACACACGCCGATTTCTCCTATTGAACGATTTATAAATCGCCAGTTATTTTTCATTCGATATGACAAATCATTGCATCGTATACACACACTTGGTGCTTGGCACGCCTCCACATTTCATTCGTCTTCTTTTTTTTTGAGATCAAGAAAACTGAGAAAAACGAAAGAGAAAAAAAAATCTAGTAAATATGAAATTAACCCGATATGAAAAGATCCATTCTCCACTTTTGGACACACATTATTACATATGTTGTTAATTAATAATATCGCTGTCTCTGAATTCGATTTATTTCTCACCATAGTTTAATCTTTTTTTTTTGTTTTCATGATGTGATGAAATTCATCATCAAAACATCACGCAGCCAATTAAAAAAAAAAAAGAAGATAGCAAAACAAAACATTAAAAATTGTAAAATTTACTGAATTTGCCGTGAAAAGACAAAACAAATTTATAATCAAATGCAAGAGAAAATCGTTTGAAATACCCTATTTATATTTAAATATTAATCAAATCAGCGCTAAAAGTCATAATTTTTAAGTTAAAACTAATTACAGTTCTTCGTTAATGAATTAATTTTTTTTTATATGAAAACGAGATAAAAAAAAACCTATTTAGAAAAATTTGAAAACAAACAAAAAAACGAATAATATGATTAATAAATAAAACCAAAAAAAATTAAATTGAAATGGATTTTCATTGATTTGGGCAAAGCTATTTGTACTTAAAATGTCTCAAATATTAACCAGTCTCAATGGATGCGATGGATTTCAATTTGAATTGTTATTAAAGAGTGAGTTGGTGTACTGATAGAATACTTGGCCAGACTGTTAATTTTACCTTTTTGATGCACTCTTTTTTAATTTTACCTTCAAATTTTTGGATTTGGAATAAATACTTACTGTTCCTCAATCAACCGCATTACTTCAGAAAACTGTCAAAAAATGGAAATGTATAAAATCGTCGTTTTCTCTTCAATCAAATAAATTATTTTTATTATGAACAATTGTTCCAATCTTCCGATGTTATGTCAAATAACCAATATAATGCGATGATGCTTTTGTACAAATTTTCTGTATAAATTAATAAAATCAACGTAAATAATTCGATAATGTTGGTGCATATTAAAATTACGTAAGAATCAAACAAAATCCAATTGTGTGGCTATCAAAACACAGTTAATTCTGAGAGTCTGACCGGTCTCTTCTCTTGTTCTGTTTGAATGTGCTGAATTCCTTGTTTCCGACGAGCCGATCGGCGAAGCGTCACCAATGTATTATTCTCCATCCTCTTTTTTATTTGTTCAGCTTTTATCACCTTCGATGTACCGTTCTTCGTTGGTTTTGTTTGACGTGCTGCCATTTCCGCTTCAATGCACAATAATGTCTGTGTATTCCGTAAAGTCTGTATAAAATCTTCCAAATCTTCGCCATTACACTTCTGTGTATTTGATCGGAGTGATCGTTTCGGTGCATTTTCTTTGTTGGCTGCCGCCTTTTCACGTTTCATTGCCGCGATATTTTTGATCGGCACTTTTGTCTTTGTTGGTACATTTTCAACAGCATTCATTTGTAGCAATTCGTTTCCGTTGCATTTTACAAATGAAGCAATTAAATTGTGAATTTGTTGTAAAATGCTTTTCAACGAATCATTTTCGTCTAGTAGCATCTTTTTGGTTTTTCGTGACATTTTTCGTTTGTCCTTTTATTTTCTTTGTTCGTCTCTTAACTTGTAATTTTGTGGTTCCGGCTGTCGTGACATTTGCAAATGCAAACTTGATATTAGTTTGAAGATTGTCGTTAGATATCGCTTGTGATGCAATTGACGACTACAGATAATGAACAATGACAACACTAAAACCGGTGACACGCACTACAATTGCGTAAAACGTATGTTTGTTTTGTGCAACGATTTTTGGACATATTTTTCAATGGATTTTACATTGCCTTGCGGCGTCTTAAAATAATAAACAATTTTATTCTTTCGATGAAAATGAAAATATTTTTGAAAATATGCTGGCAAAGCAATAAATGAAAATTATTATTATAAAATCATTGAGACAATTTTGGTATGTTTTCCGAATTTTATTCGATTTTTTACATTGACCGTCGTTGGCAAATATTGGGCTGTAAAAACGCAAGAAATTCATAATTCAACTCTCTACATCTGATGGATTAAAATTTCTTAAAGGTGAGTTCAGCAATTTTTACAAACGCTTCTTTAACAGCAATAGTCGATTGCGTATCCACCCTTTGCATACGTCATCACGAAGCATTTCCTCAGATTCAAATTTAGGCTGTTTTCAGTGCACCAGTCGTTCAACTGATCAATGGCTCTTTGGAAAATAATGGCATCAATGGGCGATTGTATTGTTCGTATCAGTTTAAGATCGTCTGCGAATAATAAAACAAGTGCATTTGTTACGGTTTCGACAATGTCATTAATAAAAATAATAAAAAGACATGGTCCCAAGATACTTCCCGCAGGTACTCCCGATGACACAGTGAAAGTTCTTGACTTTCTCTCCCCGATTCCAACAAATTGTGTTCGCGCTGTCAAATATCCATGTAACCATTTGACAAGTCGTCGGCCGAATCCAAAGTTCACCAACTTCTGCAGCAATTTCTTGTGGTTCACACGATCGAAGGCCTTCTCAAAATCTGTGTACAGCACATCCGTTTGACACCTTTTGACACCGGTATGCAGTTGCTAAATAGACACTGCTTCTTCTTATTTACACTATGGGTGCAGCCATATTGGCATATTCATTTTTAAATAAGTGCGTTTAATGGAATATCAAAAATGCAAAGTACTAAATAGTACCACACGCAATATTTCTGGATCACAGTTATTCTAGGTAAGAAAAAATAAAATAAAGTAAAGTCGAAAAATATGTTTAATAATTTGTTTGCAACTAATAGCAATATTGTGGCAAAAGATATTTCTGTCGGCTTAAAAAATATTCTGTGCCGATAAAATTATTCGTTTTCTTGGCTTATTGTGCAGTATTCCATTTACAGTTTTTTTGAATCGACTTGTATAGGCGCCAATAAATTTTTACACAGCTAATTTTATTCTTTTATTTTTATTTTTAATACAAAAAAACCTATTTATTTGATTATTCACACATTAGCTTCAAACTTAACTACAGATACACGTTTAGAACAAATTAGCCATACGCGCATTTTGACGTTTCATTAAACGCATCCATTTGACTTTTAGCTTGAAAATGGTTGCGCCCATAGTGAGAAAAAGAAGAAGCAGCACTAATAACAAAAAATGTATTGGAGTTCATACCGACGCCTTTTGATCATTGAGTCCATCGTGAAATTTACCATTTGCAGTAAATTTGTTGAGGTTGATCGATTTTTCACGAATCCATGTTGATTGTGGCTGATTTTCGCATTAACAAATGTGTCGATTTTGTTATACACAACAATTTCGAATAATTTGGCTATTGTCGGTATTATCACGATCGGCCGATAATTCGATGCACTGCTTTTCTTTCCAGACTTGAATATTGGCACAATTCTGGAATTTTTCAATGCTGTCGGAACATATCCTTGATGCAACGACTTACGAAATAGCATTGATAACGGCTTTGACAAAGTATGCGCACAATTTTTCAGTAGTTTTGGTGAAATACCATCTGGGCCGGCTCCTTTGTTTACATTGATCGCTTGTAGTGCTTTCATCACGTCTACTTCATTGATGTCAATGTCAAACGATATGTCACCGCATTCACTCAGCAATTGATCCAAGTCGATATTGTCGCTCTGTGTATACTGATTTTCGAAAAAATCAGCAAATAATTCCGCTTTCGATACGTCTGTGCTCGCAGTCTCATTGTTGTATTCAACAATAGGCGGAATGTCACTTCTATTTCTTCTGTCGTTTACAAATCGCCAAAAATGTTTTGGATTTGCTCTGATTTGCAATCGAATGCGGCTGATGTACGACTTGAACAACTGGCTTTGTAACTGCATGAACGAATCTGTGATGGCATTGTATTCGTCAAAGTTACCAGTTTCTCTTGCTTTTTTATACGCCTTTCTTCTGACATTTTTCATGTGTTTCAAGTGCTTTGTGTACCACGGTGGATCAGTACTCTTTTGTACGGTGATTTTTGGAACAAATGAGTCTATTGCCTCGTGTAGAACATTGCCAAATAATTGGAATGCATTCTCGAGGTCATAAATTCGATTTATCCCCAACAAAATGTCACTTGCAATGAAGAATTCATTCATCGCATCGAAATCCGCCGAATTGTATGCGTATATTTCCGATGATTGCGGTGATGCGGGTTCGTTTTCATCAATTGTCACTTCGATTTCAATTGCTTTGTGCCAAATGTCGGATTTAACCAATGGTCTTGTTGATTCAATCAACGCCATTTCGTAGAACTTGTTTGTAAATACAAGATCCAAAACATTCCCGGCTGGATTAACGATATTTGACAGCTGGTGGAACCCACAGTCGAACATTGTGTCAAAAACAGCAATGCCGCCCTCTGTCGACACATTGATTGGCAAATAATAATCACCATCATCGGCTTTGATCCATTTGACACCGGGCTGGTTAAAATCACCGCACACAATAACGATGTCATTTTCATTGTATGGGACCAGTTTCACAATCTCAGCGAATTCCAAGAATTTTTCAGTTTCGTGCACCGACCGAATGTACACTGCAAACACATAGACATTACACGAGTCGAACGAAATTTTTACACACACTTGCTCAAGGCCGCTGCGCTCTGATAGAATCAGCTTTTCACTGTTGAATTTGCATTCAACCGCGATCAGCACTCCTCCACCGTCGGTTCTATCACTTGTGAGTTCCGTCCGATCGCCACGATACACATTGTAGCGTTTGCCGAAATGCTCAATATTAAAGCATTTGTCAAAGTAATTTGACATTTGACACATTTTAGCGCGATAATTGCATTTGTGATATCATACTCATAACCAAAAGAGTGTTCAATTCATTATTGTTTTCATTGTGATATCACAAATTAATATTAATTTTAAAAATTCGAAAATGGCATTTCAACGTCTCCGTCGTATCGATTTAGGAGGAATGGTGGTCATCTATGAAGGAGGTTCCATCAAAAATGAAGCTGCACTTCACGAAGCAGAAAATAAATGTCTTTGTGAAAAATTATCCGTTGCCGAAAAATTAGGTTATTTGTTCAAATGCATTTCGTTGGACCCAATAAGAAGTGTAAAAATGCTTGAAATTCGTGATTACAAATTGAGAAAAACTGAGAGATCAATTTTGGTTGGAATACTGAAGCATTCAAAATGCGCTAATATACGAAAAGTAAAATTGATCAATGTTTATGATGTCGTATATACTCAAAACAACATTTTGAAAGAAGTACAAACGTGTGTGGTTCATTATTATTGTTTGGACCATATTTGTAATCAAATTGTTTTTATTCTTCAACTAGGCTTGATATCGATTTTGATGAAGACTACAGTCCACCAGCACCCAGTTGTTTAAGCTGTTTGGATCTATGGGCGGCAATCGTAGCTTTGTTTGGCGCTGTACTTGCAATCATAAACTACAACTGGAAATTTGTCGAATTTGAAACATTTTCTCTATGTTTTCAAGTAATTGGTGCCTTTTTATTCGCGCTATCACCGTTTAGAAATGTATTTTGTAATTGCTCTGAATCCGAATCAGCTGTGATGTTTGTGCCAAAACAGAATGTTGATCAGAGTACAAGTGTTTGAAAAGAAATGTGTCCATCAAAATATAAAAAAAAACTCTTTCACATTCGCGCTGTGCCTTCTAGTGAATTTATTTAACTACTCAAAATCATTCATTTACTTAAAAACGGAAATTAAGCATTTATTTCGAATTATATATTTTTTTAAATCGACACTTTATTATTGTTGAATTGTGGTGAAATAAAACAATTCAAGTTCTCCTGTTTAAATATTCTTGCGTTTTGATGCAGATGGTTTTTCGAATGTTTGTTTCATGCCACCGGCTTTACCCGATGTAATTTTTAATACGGTTAAAAGTGATCTTCGAAAATGAACTTTACCCGACGTCGGGTAAATTTCAATTCTTGCGTCGGGTAAATTTCATTTTGAAAATTGAATCTTATCCGACCTGAAAATCGTCGGATAAAAATCATTTTGCGAGTCGGGTAAAATTCATTTTCAATATGACAGTCAGCATTTTTTGTATGGCGGTGTTACATTTCAATAAACTCTCAGGAGAAGTTTCACATTCATTCTCGGACAATCATTTATTTATTAAGTCTACAGCAGTAGGTTCCTGTGAATTGGATGAGAAATTTTTTTCACGGAAATTATTCGAATTTGCTAGGGGTTTTGATTAAAAAAGTGAAGACTTTTTTTGCTCAACAAAAGTTGGAAATAGGATAAGTTCTTCCGATTTGTTAGGGATTTTCACTGAAAAAGTGATCTCCAAAAAAAAATCATGTGTAGGTACGGTTGGAGGAAAATCTGTGACACACAGCGTTCCGAAGGGGAAATGAAGTGTGTAGCACACGTATCTAGGCTCACGCATACATTCAAAGCTATCAAATATTTTTATTCTATAGAAATATTTATTGCTATATATTTAGCAAAAAATGAAAGTCTGACATTTTTCACATTACACTTAATTTTTATTGTGAATAAAAAACAATAAATTTTTTCTAATAAAGAAAAATTGAAAAAGAACTCAAACTTACATATAAAACTACTATGAAAAATAGAACGTTTTTACCGCTTTCCTACATTTTCTGTTGTTCATGTTGGCCACAAGATGTGTATTTGATGTATACTTTATCCGCATAAACTTCACAACTGTGAACCACTCTTAATGAATTGTCTATAAAACTAATAAGTGTCAAATTCGAAATGTCTAATACGAGGGTTGCTCCATAATTTTTTTTAAAAACATATATAACACAGTTGTTTTTTGTCGAAAATGGTTTTATTGTTTTTCAAAATATTCCCCGAGATGATCGATACACTTTTGCATTCGATGAAACCATTTGTCATAGCATTCGTGCCACTCCGAAACTGATATCTCCAAAACGTGTGTTTTGAACGCTTCAACTGCTTCTTCTGGTGTCGAAAATCGTTGACCACGTAGTTTTTTCTTCACGCTTGGGAACAAAAAAAAGTCATTGGGTGCCAGGTCAGGACTGTACGGTGGATGACCCATCAGTTCGATGTTTTGACCGGTCAAAAATCGAGTAGTTTGAAAAGATGTGTGAGAGCTCGCATTATCGTGATAAAGAATTATTTTGCGACGGTGGTTGTTTTTTCTTATTTCACCAAACACTTCGGGCAAACAAATGGTGGTATACCAATCAGAATTGACGGTCTTACGATCCTCTAGTGGAACGGTTGCCACATGACCACTTCTCCCGAAAAAACAGGCGACCATTCGCTTCGAAGTGCTTCTTGCTCGAACAACTTTCGTTGGGTTATCTTCATTTTGGAAGACCCATACAGTCGACTGCTGTTTCGTTTCGGGCTCATAGGCATATATCCACGATTCGTCACCAGTGACGATTTTATTAACGTCTTTTGAAGCACCACGATTGAATTTCTTGAGCATTTCTTTACACCAACTCACACGAGCCATTTTTTGTTCATCGGTCAATTTATGTGGGATCCAACGAGAGCAAATCATTTTTACGGCTAAATGTTCATGCAAAATTGTATGTATGCTGTGGGATGAAATGCCCAAAGATGCCTCAATCTCACGGTAGGTCACATGACGATCTTCCATAATCAGTTTTCTGACAGCATCGATGTTTTGTGGCACAACAGCCGATTTTGGACGACCTGTATGAAACTCGTCTTTGAGCGAACTACGACCGCAACGGAATTCTCGGTACCAGTTATAAATTGTCTGAAGGGTTGGTGCTTCATTGCCAAAGGCCAAATGAAGTCGATCGAAACACTGTTGTTGAGATAATTTACTTCGAAAATCGTAGTAAATCATTTTACGAAAATCTTCACGTGTAAAATTCATTTTTTTGTTGAGTCGCAGTTTACCAGTCACTGTAAACAATACAAATAGCGTTCGTACGACAAAAGGTTCAGGGCACGAATACATACCAAAACATCAAACTTTACGAATATGACAATGGTTTACATCGGGCAACACTATAAGTACCATTTTAAAAAAAATTATGGAGCAACCTACGTAATGTGTCACTGCCAACGTCATTGTGAAATACATCATCATCTAACCATGCGAAATAAAGTGAGTTACTTCTGTTCAAAGAGAATTTACTTTTTCGATTTCATTCCATCACGTTCTGAGTGTGACATTCATAAATAATATCTCAATATCGACATAGGTATTTTATTAATTTTAATTTTGTTCTGGAAAACACAGGAGCACAAAGCTTGAAGGCACAACTTCCGCCAATTTTGACAAGTTTCAGTTCTATACGGGTACATTCATAAGGAAAATTTCAACGAATTCGTTTAAGGTAAGAAAGATTACATTATCATATCAATTTCAAGCGTTTAACTTGGGGACGGTTTTTATCGTTTTGATTTTAGGTCATTCCAGTCTGTATTTACGATAAAAATCATCTCCATAATGAGTGAGCAGATGGTCAAAAATCAAAACAACACCGACGTCGATAAGTCACATGATACTGACTCTAAAGTGACTGATACACCGCATCAATTTGCTGTTGCTTTAGACGCAATTTCCCTCGGCTCTGACGAATGTCAGATTCATTCACCAATTTTCAAGCTGATCAACGATTGTTGGGAACTAATCTTTGATTGGTTATCACTGGAAGAACTGCATTCGTTTGGTCGAACGTGTAAACATTTCCAACGACTAACTGGCGAATATTTCAAGTGGAAATATCAAAACGTAAAGTGTAGTCTGAACAACCACAACTATAGAAACGTAGATTTTGGTGTGAACGATAGCAATGTGAGGTTTGAGTACATTGATGGGAAGGAATTGGTTGGTTTTATTCCATTCATCCAAATATTAATGTTGTGCAACCTCAAACTGGACGCATCATTCCGTTACGTTGTAGAAAATATCAAATCAATAAAATCCATGAGTTTTTGGAATGCTCGTTTCGTAGACCTTGATCTTAAAATGATGAAGAACAGTCTGAGTAGCGTTGAAGTGGTAAAATTTTTAACTACATGTAATCTTGATGGTACATTTTTCGAAACATTTCTTAAATTATGCGTGAAACTAAAGCGTTTAACAATCGATACAAATGCAGGGAATACTTGGTTACTCCATAAATATCCGACATTAAAATATTTGAAACTAACTCATTGTGATACATTGGTTAATGGTGAACTGACAACATTTTTTCAACAAAATCCGAATGTACGTAGTTTTTCGACTACCGAAAAAATCCTTATGCAACATCGTGACTCATTTATTGCAAATAACATTGAATTGGATGACCTGACAATTTTGGGGGTGGATGATATGAATGAATTTTGTGTTGTGATGAACGATCTGTATCGACGGGGTGTTTATAAACGTTTACACTTGAAAACGGCGACGACAGAATGTTTGGAAAATTTACCGGGACTTGTAACCTTGCATATTGATACATATGATTACGTAGAAATGCCAAAATTGGATGGTGTGACGGAACTTGTGTTCCAACCACATAATAATGGACCAGCTTGTAGGATGAATATGGAGGAAGTGTCAATGAACTTGAAAAATCTCGAACGAATTTTCACACCTGAAACAAATGAAGAGTATATGAATGCATTTATCCGGAATTCGGCAAAGCTGAAGGAAATAAAAACGGATGCCATTAGTCAATACGGAGACTACGGGAGATTCTACGAACGTATTAACGTGGTAGCCATGAACAATGAACGGAAAAAATTAAATGGCGCGCATAAGGTTACAATCTACCTTGAGGAGAAAGATTATTTGGCAAAAGACCATGAGGAGAGAGATTATTTTTTTATTAAATGGAAGCATAATAAAACAGATTTTGGTTTGATTGAGGTGAAACGCAAAGAATCGTATGAGGGTGTTTGGGATCACACATTTGGTCGTTATTAAGAGAGGAAGTTTGTTTACAACAAAGTTTTTTTTATTGTTATTTATATTGAATATGAAGACAAATAAAATAGGATGAAATAAAAAAGAAAACTTTTATATAGATCCGTTTGAAGCAGAAAAATCACTTTCAAACGAAATTAAAAGAAAAAAACAACAACACTAATAGTACAACTACGAAAAGAACAGTAAATGTCATGACTTCTTTTAATATTAATTGGTTAAATAAAGTATACATTAGGGTGTTTCTCATATCTGAAAATAAAAAAATGGTAGTCGTTAATTAAAAGTGCAAAAAATTCTAAGACAAATCATGACATTTACACAAAGCATCGACTGATGGTCACGCTTCCCGAAGCAAAAAACTGTTTTCAAAATTGAATGTTACTTACAAAGAAAAAACGCCCCATTTGTACTCCTGCGCAGTCAACAACAACCAAATGGGGTGTCAACCTTTTGCTACGCTACTATCCCACATGGTCGGGATAGCCTTAATAACTAATGTTACAATTGTTTTTTTTTTGTTTGCGTTGTGCTGATTAGACAGCATGATCAGCTGGCTGCTGGTCGTACTCGAACATTTCTACATCATTATCTACGTTGGCGGCAGCAGCAGCAGCTGCTTCAGCGACATCAGCGGCTACTTCGGCGGCCTCAGCGACAGCATCGCGGGCTTTATATCTATTGATCGCATCCGGTATCGGAAGTCCTAGCAATGTCCATAGTCCTGAAAAATCAAACAAATGAATCTTCTTAAGCAATCATTCAATCGCAATTGTATCGTCAATTAGCCTTACCTTTCAGCAGAATGTTCTTAGCAGCCACGACGTCACGATGCCAAGTCACAGAGCATTCGAGGTTTAATTGCCAGTTTTTATAGTAACTTTTTACTTTTGACAATAAAGGCTCGTTTTCTTCCAATGCTTCGTTCATGGCGCGTTGCAACAATCGAAATTCCGATAGATCCTTCTTGCCCAACTTTGACACAATTTTTATTGGCAGCAATGTTCTGGCGTCGGGTATGCACCGGCATTTCTTGAATCTGGCCGATTTGGGCTGGTTTTGGAATCGCTTCATACATCTTGCGTCTGTTTGAGATGATCCCCATTCGTCCACCAGCTCTATGGCACAATCTCGACGTTTGTTTATTGACCTCAAAGTCAAACGAACCCCTGGACACCGCACGTGCTTTTTGATACTTATTCGGCTGTCAGGTGGTACTTCGCCATCAGCACCAAAAAGAAACAAAGTCGGCTGCTTATCGGTAACCTTTTCCACCCAATTGTCGACAACACTACTACTTTTGATGTGTTTGTCCAAGGCGAGTCGAGTGTACTTGGCAGTCGAGTAAGCGCAGATTCCATGCTTCATCATCTTGATTCGGTGCTTGATGTAGTCCAGCCAATGTGACCCTTTTGGTGATGGCATCACCGGGTACAGCTCACGGTTCTCTCTGTCTCGGCGCTCCTCTTCGGTAAACTTTTTGGTCCAACGCTTTGCTTTGGCATTTCGCACGTTTTGGCCTGTTTTCCAGTGAAACTGCTTACTCGACATTACGAAGTTGGTCTGAAAATAAATAAATGAATAGTTATTGAATTTTAGCACTTACGCGGTCTATCTTCCATTGATACATATACAACATAAATGTAAAAACTTACTTCGGTGCCAGTTATAATGTTGTGTGTCACTGTGGTGTTCCAACTTTTCAAGCCTGTATCAACGCCTGCAAAATTTTCGAATTTGCCATCCAAAATCATTTCAACGATGCGAGAACGGTCGTATTCTGTGTTATTCGTCTTCTTTTTGGCCGAGTATTGCAGAGACACAGCGATTCCATCGGTGTTTATGGAAAAATCAAACTTCTTTTTTCCACGCACGAATCGCCGAATTTTCCGCATGTAGAAATACTGATTCCACCAATGATCACGCGCAGCGTTGAAATCCTTTTGTGGAAGAATTACCATGCTTGTTGTTCCGTTTTTGTTTTCAACTTCCACTTTCGGTAGCAATTCTTGCGAAGACAACACTTGGTGCATGCTTGAACAATCGATTTTGTAGTGCTTTCGGCGAAAATCACACATCGGCACCACTACTAAATTCCGGATGAATGGCCGAAAGTTTGGATCGTCGAGCATTTGTTTGCGCTTGGGGCGACGCTTTGACTTTTTGCGCTTTCTTTTCTTTCGTTTGGATCGGTGCTGATATGGCCACTCCAAGTTGTACTCTTCTATCTCGCGTTGCATAGATAGGAACATTGGCATGGCCTTAAACCAATGTTCTTCGTCAGTCGTGAGGTCATGCAGATCGATTTCTGGAAACACATTCAGGTCGTTCACCATGTCATACAAAAAGCCACACCGTTCGAGTTTGTTTGGATCGTGAATTGGCACTCTGATGTTTTTTTCTTTGATGATCAGTTTTACAACACTTTCGATGTCACTTTGCAAAAATTTCTCTGCGTCCTCTTCTCCGTCTGTGTTCAATTCGAACACTTTTAGTCTCAAGTACTGGGTGATCTTTTTGTCAGGATGCGTTGTTGAGTTGGTGACGACGTTGTCTGTGTATTGATTGGTGATATGCTTTAGGCCATTGCTGAAATCATTGTTGTTGGGCCAATCGATACCATGATAGTCGTCAAGACCTAAAAATAAAATATGTTTTTCAAATTCAACTAAATTGTGTACTGTGTAGTCAAAACTCGCTATTTTATAAGGAGGTTTAATTGTTTAATAAATCAACTATTTTTATTTATTACCTTCGACAATTGCTTTGAATTCAGGGTCGATAGCTGGCAGCTCTGGTCGTGGTCCTCGTGGCTTTTTTCCTCGTGGTCTGTACGTCGACTTTTTCGGTTTCGGTGGCTGATTGTTTTGCCATAGCACTTGGTTAAAGCAGAGTTGGATCTTTTTTTCTCCACTTCCACCAAAGAATGCGAAATCATTATTCTCAAGGCCTATGCTCGTACGCCTTTTGCACCTCGAACAAGAACAGTAATGAGCCCAAAAAGGAAATTGAAGTGGCTTGCAAACTCAGGTCCGTTATTTTGCTCATCAATGCTTGCTGGAATTGTGGGCGAATGATTGTCTTCAGCGCACATTTGATCGTCGTAATCTCATCCTTCGTTTCTCCCTTCGCTGGTATGGATGGCTTGAAGCGATTCGCCATTTTCCTATTGAAAAAAAAACACACACATTCGATTTAGTTTGAAAACGAATTTGTATTGAATTTTCATTGATCCATATAATTTAAAAGTGACGACTTTTCACATCAAACAATGTTCGATCGAAAAAAAGTATATAAACAAATATATACATTGAAAAAAAAAATGTGCACCAGCACTGAAATAAAAGCATTCACATGTAATTTGAAAATATCAACCGAATGCACAGATGCAAAACATACGATCAAAGTGAAAAATCCTTTTAACCAATCCACACAAATATTCACATATATTTCGAATTCAATTTGATCGAACGACAACAAAACACGAATCTATCGCTTTTTTTGGTACACACACAAAGTGATGCAACACAGAAAAATGACAAAAATCTTCGGATTGATAACAATGGCAGTGATTTAGAGAGAAAAAAAACATTTAAACACATTTCTTTGATAAGCGAGTTATTGTTTCTCTTCTCTAAACAATGGAACCAATTCAAAATGGCTATCACTGCTTGAAATGAATTTCACCACCTCACGCAACAGAATTATGTACTGCAGAATAATTGTGAAATACATTACTTTTTTCATAAAATGTAATGTTACTGTTAATATGTTCAACGTTAAATAATTATTGGACTAGTTTAAATATATTTCACGTTACAAATGGCTTATATGTCGTGCTATGAAATAAGAATGAATTTCACAATAAGAAGGATATGAATAACTGCATAGAATAAGCAAGTAATTCAAATTTTGAATAAATCGTGTATTCGCTGGCAATTTCTCATCAAAAATAATAATTTTTACCGATGAATTCACCAATATTTTTCACTTTAATTTTCACTGTAAATTAAGTTTACTCACGGTGATTTGAATTCAACAATCTGCTTGGACTCCGGATCAATCGATCGATCAAGTGTTGAACAATTCGGAATAAATTGATACAAAACGCACGTATATCGAAAATAATATGAATTATTAACAAAATCGTAGAATAATTGAAACGTTGAATTGGAATTAACACTGCTGTACTTTATGTCGTAAACTTCCTATTCACAACGCCGAACGTGTTCTCGGTATAAGTGAAGCGGCGATTATGACATTACGAAAACCAATGAAATGAACGTCAAATGTCATAGGGCTCGGTTCACATCAATAATGCTAATTCAATATTTTGATATTAGACACATTTTGCTATAAAAAATTTTTTGCTTCGGGAAGTGCCAATATCATTCGATGCTTTGTATAAATGTCATGATTTGTCTTAGAATTTTTTGCACTTTTAATTAACGACTACCATTTTTTTATTTTTTGACTACGGAAACACTCTAGTATACATTGTGCTGAGAAAATGCTAGCAAAAATCACAATTACAGTTTCACATAAAAGTTAGTAAATGATATTGGAAATAGAAAAATGGAAATTTCCTTTAAATAACGTTTGACAGTTTCAATTAAAACTATACATCATTTCGGATTTTAAAAAATGTCTCAACTTTATTTATGAATTTGAAATAAACAGGTTCAATGAATTAAATTACTTTCTTGATGATTTATCATATAATCATAGTATGTGTGCGACACCCATGTCGATACCCTTGAATAAATTTTACAAATTTTCTGTTTTTGCTTGCCACAAGTGGTATGCATATTATCACAAAAATTATACCAATAAATATTTACCTGCGTGACATCGGCCCCCCACCCCTTTGCTTTTTATTTCTGAGTTTACATTTTGATAGTTTGGAATTTGTGCTCACCGAATATACCAATTTTAAAGTTCTTCTATGAACCCGAGCCGGCACAAATTCAACAAAAGTCGATTTTTTGAAAAAATGAAAATTTTGTATGGCGACCCCCTCTAAATATGCATGAAATCGTGAACAAAGCACAGTTCTATATTCCTCGGAATTTGTGATGACCGAATAGACCATTGACCCGAACTGGCACAAATTCATCAAAAATCGGTTTTTGTCAAAAATGAACTTTTTGTATGACAACTACTTTCAAACGTGCATAAAGTTGTGCGCAAACCACACTTATTTACTCCCCGGAATTTGTGCTCACAAAATATATCATTTTTACAATCCTCACTATCAACTCGAGCTGGCACAAATTCAGCAAAAATCGATTTTTTTTGCAAAAATGAACTTTTTGTATAAGGAGTCCTTATTAAGGACCACCTCTACATGTGCATTAAATTGTGAGTAAATCACATTTATTTATTCCTGAGAATTTGTGCTCACCGAATAGACAATTTTCACAAACCTTAATTTCAATCCGAGCTGGCACAAATTCATTAAAAATCGATTTTTCGCAAAAATGAAAATTTTATATGGGATATTTTTTTAAACGGAATTTTTTTGGGGAAATTTTTGCACAGGGATTTAGTGCTATATTTGTGCTCACAAAAAATATATAAGGGAAGGTGAGGTAAAGTGATAAGGGTTTTTGTGCACAACCATAAAATTCACAATTTTTATTATTTTCATAAGTTGAATGTTCTAATCGATAGAGAATGACCATAGCTAACACCCTATAGTCGCTTAATTTTCAAAAAATAAATTCAATTTTTTTTTGCTTAATTTCCCAAATATGTGATTTTTGAGTATCAAAAAAGTGGTGGGGTAAAGTGATAACCCAATGGGCATCGTGAAGCCACTTTTTCACCTGAATTGGGCTTACGGTGACGCCAATTTTTGACCCGTATAATGCATACAAAATTATGAAATTTGTGCAAACAAAAATATATATATTTCGTGGAAAAATTTGTACGCCTGATTTCTACTATAAAATATAACCTAAATCAGGCTTAAATAATAAATATTCGAATCGACCAAACATATATGCCTGATTTTGGTTACATTTTAAAGTAAGAATCAGGCATACATAATTTTTATTTACCAGCACATTTTAGTAGAAATATTACATCGGCTTCGGCATTATGTGCATCGGCGATAGATTCATCTGGATAAAATCTCTTGAAAATTTCAATTAATTTATAAGAAACATACGGCTTTTGGTTCGGAATGTATCCATTGATTTGACGAAAAATTGGCAATGAGTCAACAATCAAAAGATCTTCCAATGAACGGTAATTATTATCTTTTTATTGAAAAACAACAAATATTGCACTATTAAGAATTGTAAAATTCTCAGATGCGCATTTCAATGCTTTCATCCTCAGTGAGGTATAGGAAACAACTCTGAGAATTTTACAATTCTTAATAGTGTAATATTTGTTGTTTTTCAATAAAAAGATAATAATTATTCTAAATTACACGTTAAACTCCAAATAAAAACATTCAATGAACGGTCCTGCAACGAATCCATTTTTATTGTATAATCTTTTTTATTTTTCTCTAATATTTACCAAGTCACGTAGATGAGCTTTCAAGATGGGATAGTCAAAATAGTATCCATTATGTGCCACCAAACAAATGGGCTTATTTAATCGATTAAAATAACTGCCGAAGAGTGTGATTGTGTTGTTGTCCATTGGCTTAACATGGTCAAGCAGTTCGTTACTCAAACCTTTTTAACATGAAAACATTAATCACTCAACATTAATAGATCTATTTGATTCTATTGAAAATGGTCAATTGCACAATTTACCTGTGAGATTGGTTACAATCCCTTTAATAGGTTTCATAATAGGCGAGAGTTTATGTAAAACTCGGGGCACTGAACCTTTTGGCGTTTTAAGTAAATCATCTTTCGAACAAGCAATAAATGTTATTTCGGTTATTTTCGGTGGATTTGTTTTATTTGGAAATCCCGTTGTTTCAATATCAAAAAAAAAACGAAAGTGTTTATCTGAAAATATTATTCATTAGTTCGAAGAACGTAGAATCGTCTGCTACAAAACATCTGGAGCCTCTATCTGCCAAGAAATGGTCGGAGTGCCAAATTTCGTTCCATGTAAGTACCAATTAATTCACTGAGACATTTATATCGCTTTAAGTTTTTAAAGACAAAAAATTTGTTTTTATTCATAATAATGTGTGACATCAAAAATCAATGAAAGTTCAGTGTACCTCACTCAATTAATTTTATATTTATGTTTATTTTTGCAGTCAGATGGTGGAGCGGGCAACTCTTCTACGCCTGAGCATGAAATTGGATTTTTGAAAAATGTTGATCAATGTTGTTCTGACCACGACAAATGTGATCGGTCATCTGTAAAAGGAGATGGACAAAGCCTTATAACACACACGAAATATACAATATCCAGTTGTGAATGTGATTATCATTTTTTACATTGTCTAAAATCTTTCAACAGTGGATTGGTAAACAAATTGGGTATTATTCACACAAGTGTTAAAAAGTGTATCGGAGTGTTAGAACCCAACGTGTGCGTTGAAGTTGGCGCTAACTTTGAGTGTATAAGATATACTATATATACAAGAAATTACTTTTTATAGTCTTACTCCCTAGGGGGTGATGTTACGTTGATTTTGATCATTTTATTTCACACATTATTACGAATAAGATGCAGTGTTTGTTTATTGGAACTTGAATCATAATAATCAGTTATAATGTTACAAAAAAATGCAAATGTGTTGATAAACAATTATTTCTAAATAAAGTCTAACTAGTTTCATTATTATAGTAAATTTGTTCGTAGGCAATCAATTTTAGATATCTCCTAGTTCTTTTGTTCGTAAGAATGAAAAATAATCGTTTGCTTTGTACTGTTTCACTTGTGGTTGACGTGGTTTAATGAATGGATATAACGTATAGGGTGTATATTACGTGGCCATTGTTTTTCCGTTTGTTCCATTTCTACCTTGAATACAAATGCATCAAGATTGTTTCCAAAATGAATAGTTCGGTTGCCGCATCCAATGTTTAAAATATTTTGTATCCATGGCAAAAAATCCACTAAACGTGTATATACCAATGCAGATTTAGTTATCATAGAGTCAGTTGACTCCATGTAATCATATTTACACCTTACACCTTTCGGTATTCCTATGATTTCTATGCTGCCATTTTTATTTTCTCTTTTACTGCATCTTCGAATGATGTAGACGATGATTTATAAATTTCAAAGAGAATTTCACTGTTCGAAATATCCGCAAAAACCGGCGAAATCGCCAATGTTATTAATATTATATCTATTGAAAATATCGAGAGGAGAGTATGTTTTTATTCAGACATTACTCAGCCATAAGCGCTGAATAACATACTCTCTTCTCGATATATTCAATAGATATGAAGTATTGGCTGCATCGTTAATCAATTTTTTTATTATAAATTCGTTAGCATCACTGAACCAAACTGATTTTATTCAAAGAAAATACTCTAGATTGTTTTGATGAGAATGTTTATAAAGCCGTTGGATTTACCAGTGACGTACTTGATAAGCGACCATTTTTTTCATTGTGGTATGAAATTTATTAAATAGTTTTCAATAAAAAAATAATATAACACTGTTTGTATGTACTATATATACATTTTTGCGGAGTGCATGTTCATCTAATCAACTGAATGATAAAGATTTCCCGAAGCACAGTTTGCATATTCTTGGGGATTTTCCGGTGGTTTTTAGAAACCACCAAATAAAGTTTTTTTTTAGAATAGACTTTTAGAAAATTTGTTCAATATGCTGGGGTTTTTCGAAAGAAATGTGGTGACCTTTGCTTTAGCTCTTCACTTTTATTTTTGAACAGACAATTTTAACTAACGGTAGACAAATATTCTTTTTCCTTAATGTATGAACGAACATGCGCTCTTTTTAATTTTGCGAGAAAAGAAAACGACAGACAATTATTTTATATTGATATCTAGGGGATATCCATGCGAATTAGAATTAGCACATTAGCAAAAAAATAGGGAAATTTACATGAAGAAAATAGCAAAATTAGCAATAAATAGCAAAATTAGCACTGTACAAGTATATACTTTAGTAAGCATTTATTCTTGAATATATTGAAATAATTAATTAAAATAAAATTCACAAAACAAATGAATTGAATAGTGTTGAACTAAAATGTATCAAAATATGTAGTTAAATACGCTTTTTCTCATTTTTAAATAAAAATATATTCAATGGCACGTAACCAAGCACGTTTCATCTGTATTAACTACAATTTACGAATTGCAATCGGAAATGTAGATTTGATGACAGATTTCTTACTGAAAACGTATACGCTAGTGCCTGCTTCAAATATACACGTTGAAAGTGTCAACTTGAAACATTTACGTAAACACATTTCAGTTATTCGATCATGCTGTCAATCTGACGAATGCGATATTTTTGACGTACTAGAAAAATTAGCAAAAAATAGCAGTATTAGAACAAACTAGTAGAAATACTAGCAGAATTAGTGAAAACTAGAGAGAAATAGCGTTTATTATTTTAAATTATTCGATCTGCAATTCACGGTTATCCCCTAGATTGATATGCTGCCTATCCTTTACCTATAAATTTTCCTTACTTTTGCTAAAATTCAGCGATATTTTTCCGAAAATTTCTTGTTTTGTAATCATTGCTTGAGCCAATCTAAACAAAAAAGAAATTTTTCATAGAGATCTGATGGAGCGAGATCAATCTAGACGACGAGAGAGTTAAGGTGATCGAACATTCACCTGAACAGAGAACTCATAAGCATTAAGTCATGATATTTTTATTGATCACATTTTTTTGCTCTCATATTCTCAATAAATAACAAATAAAACAATCGATACGATCAATGATGTTTTTTCGATAAATAAAAAGTGTTTGCCACCGGTCGTATGGGGAATGGTGCACACATCATATCGTCAAATGTCTGGAAAAAAATGTTTATATGCAACTATGTTAGTTAAATGATTCTGATAAAATCTTGAAAAAATAAATGTTTTACCTTGTTTGTGACTAGTTGATTTGTTTCCATCTCACGGCGTAACGCACTAAATTCATCGACGTGTTCTTTCGATCCGTTTTCCTTAAGTAATTTTCCTATATCATCAAGCTGTGAAACCCCATTTTTTGTGAATTAGTAATCGGAAAATTGTAAGTTCAAAATCAAATGAAAAATAAACTTACAACTGGTATTGATGTTAGTTGATCAATTACTTTTTCTTTTTGGAAACGTTGCAGTATCATCCTCAACGTTCTCAATATATTATCGAATCTTTTTAATTGTGCCCATGCAAGTAATCTTATGTGACGCATAGTCACATAAAAATGATCAACACCATCCTCTAGAACATTCAACGCTAAGCCAGGATCATTTTGTTTCAACGCCAATCCGGCAACGAACGTTCGACTTTTCCGATATTGATTTTTGGTTTTGTTTCTATTTACTTTTTTCCACAAAGTATACGCTTTTTGGAGAGTTTCTGGAGTATTCTGTAATTAAAAATCAACCTTGAAAACTCAACACAATAAATGCATGAGAATAAAGAGAAAAGAAACGAACCAATTGGTAATACGTTGCTAAAACTATAACATTAATTTGTTTAAATGTATCAAGTTGCCCCTTCATATTGAGACTTTCGTAAATACGGAGAAGATCGTCGTACATTTTATGTTCATACAATAGATCCAATAGAAGTTGATGTCCACTGACTTGGGTAAATAGTGTTCGTAAATGCTCATCTTCATAAAACTGAAATCAAGAAATTACTACACTGAAATGTTCCATATTTGAATGTAATAAACCTTTGAACTCACCTCAACGGCTTTGTTTGGCATATCCAAAAAGTATAAAGTTCGCATTATAACTGTGCCAAAGGCGTACTTTTCACCTTCGTATTCGCGTTGTCTTTCAATTAATGTGTTTAACGCTTCTTTCAGAATAATCATATCGTTTTCATTCTTTTCGACAACGTGCAGCAAATCTTTTATTCCATTTTCATACTTTGTAAAATTGCAATCTTCATCCACGAATCGATTCTCAAAATGTTGCTTGTACTTCAGTGGATCTTTTACAAAATATTCAACTTGTTTTCGCGCCAATTCGTAATTTTTGATTCCCAGCTCTTCGCCAGAAAAAAGGCATCGTATTTGATTCGTTGGCACAATAGCTCCTAATCATTGATGAAACGATAAAAAAAATCGTGTAAAAATATTGTCAATTCATTTTGGAGCTAAAATATTCATTTACCTTTCAATTGAAGGACTGAATTTGACAATCTGCATCCAATTCTACTCACACGTAACATGTTTCCTGAAAACATTTGAATAATAAACTTTATAAGTATTTTTGATGCAAACTATAAACAAAATATTGGCTTAAAGATTGTTTGTTTTAAATATGGACACAAAATTAGCCGTTTTTTGTTATTAATTCTTTTGCACCGTATTTATAACTTCAGAAATTTCAATCGAAAAAATGAGCCGATATCGTCACAACCGTATTTATCTCGAAAGCGGACAATTTCTTTATATTTATCAAAGAATTTTCAATATAATTATTTCCCGAATGAAATGCCATTTTGGTATTGTGCTACTTACTGTCTGATAAATTTATTATTTAAATCAACTTAAAGACATTTCGATACCACTTACAAGCAAAACAATTACATTCGGCACTTTGTCCCGTTGATAATATAAATTCAAACGTCAAATGTTTGGTTATATTTTACTAACCCTTATCATTGTGTAGTTTGACGTTTTAATCAATTGGAGACTGACGCCATCTAGGTGTCAACGCAGAAATGAAGAAGCTTAAAGATTTCGTTTATTCAACTTAATCGTCAACTTTACATACAACCGAATAGAGAACCCAAAAGCAATAAGTCATCATATTTTTATTGGTCATTTTTTTCTTTTATATTCACAATAAATTACAAAAATCGCATCACTGATTTTTTTTCGATTTATAAAAAGTGTTTGCCACCGGTTGTGCGGGGAATGGTACACACATCATATCGTCAAGTGTCTGTAAAAAATTGTTTATATGCCACGAATGGTTCTGAGCAGGATTTCACTCAGCGCTGCTACCTTTCAAAGCATAAAAAAATATCTTGCTGAGAATGCGTCGTCCGTCGCATCAATATAGCCGTTCAGACATGAAAAGGCTGTATTCATTTTCGTTCGCTTGTATCGAGTCATCGACAGCACATGTACTGTAGTTTGCTGTGATGTGTAAACCGCTACTTATATTCTAATGCGACACACGACACATTCCCAGCACGATATATTTTTATGCTGTGAATGGCAGCAGCGTTGAGTAAAACTTTGGTTCTGATTAAATTTTGAAAAAAAAAAAAAAATGTTTTACCTTGTTTGTGACTAGTTGATTTGTTTCCATCTCACGGCGTAACGCACTAAATTCATCGATGTGTTCTTTCGATCCGTTTTCCTTGAGTAATTTTTCTATATCATCAAGCTGTGAAAAGCCAATTTTTTGTGAATTAGAAATCCGAAAATTGAAAATTCAAAATCAAATGAAAAAAAACTTACAACTGGTATGGATGTTAGATGATAAAATGATTTGTTTTTAGCTTTTATTTTTTGGAAGTGTCGAAGTATCGATCGTAGCATTTCCAATACATTATCGAACTTCTCCAATTGCGCCCATGCAAGTAATCTTATTTGACGCAAAGTCACATAAAAATGATCAACACCATCCTCTAGAATATTCAACGCTAAGCCAGGATCATTTTGTTTCAACGCCAATCCGGCAACGAACGTTAGACTTTTCCGAAAATGGTGTTTGCTTGAAATACTTTTTTCTTTTTTCCACAAAGTATACGCTTTTTGGAAAGTTTCTGGAGTATTCTGCAATTAAAAATCAACATTGAAAAATCTACACAATAAATGCATGAGAATGAAGAGAAAAGAGACGAACCAATTGGTAATACGTTGCCAAAACGATAACATTAATATGTCTATTTCGATTAAGTTGTCCCTTTATATTGAGACTTTCGTAAATACGGAGCAGATCGTCGTACATTTTATGTTCAAACAATAGATCCAATAGAATTTGATGTCCAGTGACTTGGGTAAATAGTTTGCGAAGATTTTTATTTTGATAAAACTGAAATCAAGAAATTACTACACTGAAATATTCCATATTTGAATGTAATAAACCTTTGAACTCACCTCAATGGCTTTGTTTGGCATATCCAAAAAGTATAACGTACGCATTATAACTGTACCAAAGGCGTACTTTTCACCTTCGTATTCACTTTGTTTTTCAATTAATGTATTCAACGCTTCTTTCAAAAGAATCATATCGCTTTCACTCTTTTCGACAACGTGCAGCAAATTATTTAGTTCAGTTTCATACTTTGTAAAATTGCAATCTTCATCCACGAATCGATTCTCAAAATTTTGCTTGTATCTCAGTGGATTTTTTACATAGTCTTTGACTTGTTTTCGAACCAATTCGTAATTTTTGATTCCCAGCTCTTCGCCAGAAAAAAGGCATCGTATTTGATTCGTTGGCACAATAGCTCCTAATCATTGATGAAACGATAAAAAAAATCGTGTAAAAATATTGTCAATTCATTTTGAAGCTAAAATATTCATTTACCTTTCAATTGAAGGACTGAATTTGACAATCTGCATCCAATTCTACTCACACGTAACATGTTTCCTGAAAACATTTGAATAATAAACTTTATAAGTATTTTTGATGCAAACTATAAAAAAAAATATTGGCTTGAAGATTGTTTGTTTTAAATATGGACACAAATTAGCCGTTTTTTGTTATTAATTCTTTTGCACCGTTTTTTTAACTTCAGAAATTTCAATCGAAAAAATGAGCCGATATCGTCACAGCCGTATTTATCTCCAAAGCGGACAATTTCTTTAGTATTTATCAAAGAATTTAGAATACAGTTATTTTCTGAATGAAATGCCATTTTGGTATTGTGCTACTTACTGTCTGATAAATTTATTATTCAAATCAATTTAAAGGCATTTCGATTAAAACAATTAACTTAAAACAAAACAATTACATTACGCTTTGTCCCATTGATAATATAAATTCAAACGTCAAATGTTTGGTTATATTTTTTCAACTCTTATCATTGTGTTGTTTGATGAGCAACTTTGACATTTGTACTTTGTACATTTTGACAATTGATTCAACTACTTTGACAGTTGTAATATTTTTTATATAGAATTTTACACAAGAAATAGTTTTATTAAGAAATTCTCTAAACTATTGAATATTTTTTTTTAAATGAACTTAACAATGAATTATTTAAGTTATAAACATAAGTTTTATTTGAAGAACATTGTATTTTTTCTTATATGTTCAATAATTTTTAATTGTATAATGAAAACTTCGTTCACAAAAAGATTCTTTGGAATTGACGATTTTGAAATACGACGATCGACGAAATTCCCGTTGGATTCAACGAAAGTAGCATTTGAAATGGAAGCGGGAAAATCGGCTAACTTTATGAAGTACTGGATGCATGTGGTAACCATGAATGTTTTTATATCATTGATGAACAAATACTATTGATGTTTAACAACATAGCGTCGAAAATGGTTTTATTGGACCTTTTATTTAACCACAAAATTTACAATGATGTGTTACACCTTATAAAAATGGACATTGAAAAACAAGAAAGAAAAAAACCAAGGAGTATCCGCTCAATTGAACTGTCTTGCGTTTGCTGCATGCACCTAACAGAGGTTCAACACCACAATATTACTCTCCAAACTAAAGAAATCCTAAATATAAAAAGAAATCGGTGAACCACAATAGAATAAGAGACCATTTATTCAACATTTCATTAGAAAACTAGTATCCCGAAGCGAGCGAAGTCAGCAAAAATGAAAACAAAAATAACAAAATATATCTGTATACAGAAATTTACAACATATTTTCGGAAATAAAAATTATTATTGTTTTTTTAACAATTCAAACTGTATACGTTATACCAAAATCTCATTTTTTTTTTAAAACAAAAATCAATACATGGGTCATAACTCGATATAGTTTTTCGGCAACAACATTCGAAATAATTGAAAAGTTCAAAGTCATATTTTTATTTACCGCATGTTTAAAAAATGACTTAGTTCAAACGAGCACTAGAAAACACCAGTCCGTACTTTCCATTGTCCAATGAAGCCAAACATTTGTCGATAATGTTACGAGTTGGATTGCTAAAACGACTGTACCCATGAACCTAATCACAAAGAAAAAAAATTTACATGTCATTTTTCACAGAGAAAATAAATGATTTCAAAGAACTATATCTTTGATCGTTCGGCTTGTGTGGTTGGTTCTCGCTTGTATATAGTGCTCATAATCAATGTCGGAACAACTGATTGATCTGACCATTGTTCTGGATCTTGACCGATATGAATTGATTTGGTTGCGATCTGGATTCTATGTTGTATTATGTTTTAAGAATAACACCGCTTTTTTTAATTTTAATTTCTCAAAGTTTACTCTTTGAATTAACTAACTCTAGAATGAACTCAATGCTTATTATATCTCAATAAAGCTTGTTCTCAACACTCAAATTGGGTGATCAATCCGAAATGAAGAGCTATGACTTTTTGACTGATTTGAAAAAGACTGGCTTTATTCACTTGTTTTCAGAGTATTTATTCGGTAGAGGAATTTAAAACATATTTTACACCGATTGCATGATCGTATCGAGCTCGTGTCTCTATTGTCACTTGCCGTCAATGGTTGGCGCACAATCCTTCTCAATATTAAGTCGAATTTCCCAAATTTCCGGGTTAAAGCAATACATAAAACAATGCAATTTTAAGATAGACAGTGACCGCATCAGCTATGAAATAATAATGGAAAGCAAATCGACTAATCAGTTATACGTACACGTTCAAAGCCAAATGACTGCCACTTAAAATAACTACTAAAAACCACGCGAAGAGAAAGACCGAAATCGAGTGTACCAAATCAACTTATTTGTTTTTTTTTTATGGTATTCAATTTAATTTTAGTGATTCTATTTATCCAGTTACTTCCATTTTTTATGTTTCATTCTGCTAAAAAAATGTATTTTCAAGTTTTGTCGAACGTTTTTATTGTAAATAAAGTTATATAAAAAACGAACCGTTGAAATATTTGATCAAAGCTGAAGTGCTAGAGTATCTATTTCATGCAATCAAAGTTAATCAATCTACAGGTTAAATTAAAATTCACGAATCAAATGAAAAGACAAGTATGATTTTCTCCAACTTCACTCCATGTCAGCGCCTTACGATATCTGGCTGAAAATATCTCAATTTAATGTCTGATTACAAAACGCAATTAAATCTTCAACAACATCAATTTAATAAATTGGTCGACGATTAGGATTGTCATTCGCTATCGCTTGATTTGCTTATCCAATGGAAATGTCCATATTTGTCTAGAAATTTGTTAAAGCTGAGAAGATCGAGGACGTTCATTTTGTGTACTTGTCATCGCTAAATCGCCCATTTTGTACTTTTTGTCATGATACCAATATGATAACACAGACAACAATTGCAGCGGCAGCAACCATGAATGGTATCATATATAACAAATTAGGATCTGGCAGGTATATCGATGAATCAAGACAATGATTTTCTTTCGTTTTATTTCCAATACCGGCACGAAGCATAACTACACCAAAACGACGCGACAAATTGGCCTTGAAACCACATGGCAATGTACCACATCTTGTGTCGTTCTATTGGGTGTATCAATTAATTTTTACCGCTGACTGTTAGATGTCGCCACTTAAACTTGTATGAAGTTTGACAGGTGAAACGATGTGTATTTTGACATTTGATATTTGCCTATCTAATTCAGAGCAGAAAGGTTTATATTTCCACACAGTATCATTATTTTTTCATTAATTCAAAATGGATCGCGATAAAATGTTTTTCCGAAGTGCTCTCCTTTTCTTATTTGATATGAAGAAAACTGCGGCTGAAGCGCAACGAATGCTTTCGGATACTTATGGTAAACAAGCTCCAATAGATTCAAGCTGCAGAAAATGGTTTCAACGATTCAAAAGTGGTGATTTTGATTTGAAAGACAAAAAACGGCCAGGTCAGCCAAAAAAGTTTGGAGATACGGATTTGGAAGCATTACTCGATGAAAATCCATGTCAAACGCAAAAACAACTTGCATTGGAATTAAATGTCTCTCAATCAACCATTTGTGAACGTTTACATGCAATGGGAAAGATTCGAAAGCTAGGAAAATGGGTTCCACATCAACTGAACGAAAATCAACTCAAAGCACGAATCGAAGCATGCAAAAAAAATCTTTCCGGGCACAAAAAACATAGTTTTTTGTATCGAATTGTTACTGGCGATGAAAAGTGGATCTATTACAACAACCCCAAACGTAAAGCAGCGTATGTTGAGTCAGGCCAACCAGGACCTTCACAGCCAAAACGAGACATTCATTGCCAGAAGGTTATGCTGTGTATTTGGTGGGATCAGAAAGGTGTCGTGTATTATGAGCTGCTAAAACCAGGTGAAACGGTTAAAGCTGAACGCTACCAAATGCAATTAATCAAAATGGAGCATGCATTGAAGATTAAACGGCCTCTGATAGCGAGCAAACAAAATAATGTTATATTTCACGATTACAATGCCAAGCCACATGTTGCACACATCGTTAAACAGAAGATAGAAGACTTCGGTTGGGATCGGCTTGATCAACCGGCGTACTCTCCAGACCTTGCTCCTTCTGATTACCACTTGTTCCGATCGATGCAAATGGGCTTGTCCGAGATATCGTTTCGAAATGCTGAAGAAGTGCGAAAATGGATCGATGACTGGATAGCTTCAAAAGATGAGGAATTCTTTCGACGCGGAATCGACAAGCTACCAAGAAGATGGACGGAAGTCATAGCTAACAATGGGCAATACATCGGTTAAAAAATATTGTACGCTTTCTTTAAAATAAACTTACATTTTCACCCAAAAAACGGTAAAAATTAATTGATACACCCAATATTTGAATTATTTTCAACGCGGAATCCAATTTCATGACGATCAACCAGTGTTTCATATATCGCTATCAGTATCCGTAAGATAACTGAGAGGGATATATTCAGGCAGATATGATACTGTCTAAATTAGACATTGGAGATGGTAAGCGTGTCTAAAGGTGCATTTTCCAAGGCGACGATTGAAATCGTCCACGATTTTTTTTTCAAATCGGGCGTCAAAAAAAGTACAAATAATAAATCGTTCACGATTTTGGCGTAAAAAAACCATTGATCTCAATCGTTAACGATTTCGGCCAACGATTTGAAATCGTACACGATTGTAATCGCCGCCTTGGAAAATGGACCTTAATGCAATTTTGACACAATTTTGACACTCATATCTGGCTGAATATATCCCTCTCAGTTATCTTACGGATACTGATAGCGATATATGAAACACTGCGATCAACTCGATTTGATGTTAGCAGAGCATATACTGAGCAATTGAGCATAGATATATATCCGGGATATTTTGTGAGTATCCGATATTTATCGCAGCCAGACATTATAATGGAGTGAAAACAATAGAAGTGATTGTTATATGTCTAAGTATAAAACCATTTACATTACTACAATCACTATAACAATAACTTCTATTGTTTTTACTCTATTTCAAAGTCTGGCTCCAATGAATATCGGATACTGACAAAATATCCAGGATATATATCTATGCTTAGTATATGCTCTGGATGTTAGTAATCCTTCCATGTTCAACATGGTGGCTATCGCTGAAAGGAGATGACGTCCTATACTCCAATCATCCAATCTGAAAAAACGATAAACAAAATTTGATTGGATTTGAACCTAATTTGATTTAAAAATGAAGAAAATTGAACTTACGGTCCCTTTAGAATAACAAAAGCGAATTGTGTTTCAACAGTGTAGCACATTTTCTCCTTATCATCCTTTAGAAAAACAAACAAAAGTACAACTAAGTTGAACAAGCTTTTATATCGATAAGATATACTTACCATTAAAAATTGGGAAAATGCCGATTTTCCTAAGATTTGATGTGATCGCTCCCCCTTCTTCACTAATTCCTAATAGTAATGTTTCCTGAGTAGTTGATGAATTTGATTTTTGTCTTAGAATCACAGGAGCTATAATAAATGATTGAATATCATTTAAATATAAAGATTTTTTTGGTGTGTAATTAGATCTCTATTTTAGATTACATGTATTAGCTGATATTATAATATTTGAAATAAGTGTTTTCTCATCAACACCAAAATCAGCTATTGATCATGAGTTCATGTTGATATGCAATGCATCGGAAAGTCGTTAGAAATGCTTGCGTATATACAATTCAATGACCTCATCACAAAAAGTATCAAATACGAAGTTTGAGCTTGACTGTTTTCCTGGTTGTAAAGGTGCATTTTCCTAAGCAACGATTGTAATCGTTGACGATTTCAATCGTTGGTCTATATCAGGAACGATTGTAGTCAATGATAATTTCTATATACAGTCGTGAACGATTGACTCAATTCTCAAAATGTTATTTTCTTTCAAAATTGTGTAAATTTTCAGACGTAATGATGTTACCTTAATTCAGTGCTTATATAAATTGCCAAAAACCTTACCACCTCCCATTAGGATAACTTCTAAGAAGTTACTTCTTTTACATGGAAACTGGGACATGTATTGATCTGCATTATTGGCGTCGTTACCGTTCGTAATTCCGTGCAACTGATTTTATTGAAATTAAAAGGTTTACAAGAGAACTAATTTGGTAGACTGTCGACGCATCGGACATAAAGTCACTGGTTTTTACCATTAAATTATCAATAGTTCGCACTGATACATGATCAATACATTCAAACGAAGCATGAATATCACATAAAAACACATCTAGTACTTGAAAAGTATATATTTTAATTAATGTTTTTTCCGCTTGAAAATTAAATAATCCTTGTCGTAAATAAGCTTAAAGATTTCATCTATTCAACCTAATCGTATACACAGAAAATTGATAAATTAAGATGATTCATACAAAATAAAATCAAAAATCGTTTAGCTGAAAAACACTACCCCTCGTTCACTGAGCTAATAATTGGAACTTTGAATTGCAAACAAGCGTGAATAAGATACATTTGTTTTTATTTAAAAAAATCTTCTTTTTGATAACACTGGGATAAATTTTGGATAGACATAATATTTTTTTTAAATTAATATCTTTGTTTCTCTGTTAAATTTACTTGCTTCACTTATCAGTTATTATTCATTTATTTATTTTATTTTATTTTTTTTTGTTTTAAATATGGCCGACATAATCGTTGAATTTATTCTTTTATTTATCTTCTCACCTATCTCAATATATATTTATAGATATAATCATTTCCATTTTATTTAAACTTTTTCGCGCATTTTAAATAACAATACGCAAAACCATTTGGCAATGTAAATATCTCTATTTAATTCATTTTCTTTGTTGTTTTGGTAACCTTAATCCATTTTCTATCAAACAATATGGGTTTCATTTTGGTTGAAATGGCATTTTGTTTCTCGACATTATTTGTTTTGCAGAGTTTTTTTGAATTAAGAAGAAAATTGTTTGATACCATATGTAAATAGGAATATTATTCCATTTCTCGTTTAAAGACAATACGAATTCAGTAACGCGTATCAGAACGTATTCAGTAATGATTTACGGAATATCAGCCGTTGAGTTCACTGTCGTGCATCTAATGCTCTAATGCATGTGTTTGCTCACAGTCAAAGAAAGTTCGCGCAAAAGAGAATGACACATTTACATATGGCTGCTTGATGTTTTTTGACCATATCGCAGTGAATTCTACTGCTGATATTCGCCGAAGCAGCGAAGATGTGCCGAGTGTACACGAAGCGTGAATTCTTCTAGTAAAAGTCGTATTGGCTTTAAACGAGTGCCGAATACATAGTTAATACAGAATGTATTTTATGTATTTTCGGAGAAATATGAATAATAAAGGGGAGTAAATCGTATTGTACATTGTTATTGAAATTGAAAGGAAACAAAAAACGGAGAAAGAAATGAAAAGTCGTGACAATGTGTTTAAGTAAATAACATAAGTACACGTTTATCGTGATGTTTTTTTTTAATCCTTGTTTTTAAAATGTGATTTTTTTTCTAATTAATATTTGTTTACATTTCTTCGGTTCATTTAATTCATTTAAAATGATGAACCGTACATTTACACAATCTTCTATTCTTTTAAAATCTCTTGCCATAAGCTTAAATAATCTCCACCCAAAATTCACATACACTCAAATAATGAAATCGTACAAAAACAATGAAGACTAATAGAGAGCATGTTATTTTTTCTTTGATGTAACATAAAATGTGACTCGGATTTTTGGTTTTTGCATTTCATTTTCACCGTGTGAAACAAATAGTTTACATATTTATCAACAAAAAGAAAACCACTGCCTCGTGGAAACAACACAAATTCAATGAAATGCGTTTGCTATGTTAAAAATGCATCCGTTGTTGTTCTTTTTTCCCTAAAAAAATAAAAGCTATGATTATTTTTATAGTTCCCTCTTAAATTAAATCTTTTCATATTCTCAATTTAGTTTTTGTAATATAATTTATCTAAATGTTCTTTTATTTTATACATATATGCTTCTAACGTTTCACAATTTGTCTCTCATAGTTCAATTTTGAATAGAATGGAAATTATGCATATTTATTTTGTGTATTTTATGTTAAAAGTCAGCAGTTTATTCCGTCTACATTCTGAATGCAATAGAATTTAAAAAAAAAATGTCCACTATGCTTTGTACTGAGCACATTTAGCAACATTTTTTTTGTAATATCATTCTTCATTAACTCTAATAATTTAACTGGATGTGTGATTTGTCTATTGCCATTTTAGTTGAGAGAAAATAAAATAAAAATGAAATATCTTTTATAATAAGTTTCAGTTTTAGAATAGATTTTTCTTATTAAATAGCATATTAATATAGCCGGAACCGATTCTCCAAAACAACAACAACAAAAATATCCAAAACCAGCAAATAATGGTTCACAAAAAAGTGTAAAGAGCAAAAGAGCTAATTTATTAATCGGCACGCATTTTGTTCGAACATATCCGTATGAAGAATTTTGTGTTCTTTTGTGTATTTTCCATTTTATTATTCTGAATGTAAGTGTGTATTCGAATAAGCAATATGCATTATGAACCACGGTATCACCGTTTTTCGTTCTTTTCTCAAAGCTAAGTATCGTGTCGGATTTATATTGCACAAATGAGGTATTTTCGTCAAGCACAGCAAGTATTGCGTGCCGGGACCGCGTGTCCTATGAAGTAAGAAACGAACGAAAGAGAAAAAAAAAAACTAACCATGCACATAAAAAGAGCCATATTGTACTTCTTTTAGGCGAAAACTCTTTATGAGACATTTTTCGTTGTGCCCCCCCTTCCACCGTTTCGAACTGTTGTTATATAAGAACGATAAAAAGCGAATAGAAAATGATTTACCTTGAAGGAAAAGATGGATTAATGTAAATTAATACCACACAATGGCTTTGAATTCTTACGATTCATTTTGAAGATGTAGAAAAATGTTTTTTTTCAATTGTGAAACTGAATAGCGGTTGGATGATGAAAATATTTTTTTTTTAAGAGCTGATCAAAGAAAAATTACATCAATTTCAATCATGCCGTCAAAATCTGTTATGGTTAGGTCTTCTGTTCTTTTATTCGATTGCAACTAATCAACAATGGCATTTCATTTTTTTTGTTATTTATTATTATTAGAGTACATAAAAAAGAAATTATTAAGACGCTGTGTAGAAACAAACACTGAATGCAAGAAAAGGAGAAATTAAAACAAAACATTAAGTTGAACACTTTCACTTTTTTTATGTTTATATATACACACTTATGTTTATCATCATTTTATTGCTGTCTTGACCAATTTCATATAAATTTTTTTCGTCGTCTCTTGCAATAAATGCTATCGTCATGTTTCATTATCGAACATTTTGAATAGTTTTTGAAAAAAGTGTAGAAAAGCGAAGAGGTAGCATAGATTTGAATAAGTTTTAATTCATGGAAAAATAAAATGTTTAAAGCGATTTTCATGTAAATTCATGCATTTCATTTTTCCTCAAAGTTGAATTTTCAACCCTTCAACTCGACTGTCTGTTGGGCTTTTTTGACATAACGACAGGTAATCAAGGTGATAGATCCAAAATAAGACGAGGATTTGCTTTGTGCTAAAATATGCAACAATAAAATGTAATTTTCTTTTCTCCTTGGAGTTTTAGTTTTTGTGTGTGTGTAAGGATACAGAGTTAATAAAGATATGAATATCGGTGTAAGACTAACGCTCATTAGATTTGTTCGTTGACTGTGCGATATTCATGAATTTTGCCTGAAACACAATACCGTTCCATATATTCGTTATGCTTCCGCTTCTGGTGTTTATGTTGCAAATGTTCTTTGCGTTCTCATTTTTTTTTTTTCGTGTCTGCTGTAAGGTTGACATTTTGTTTGATTAGTATTTTTGCAGATGGAAAAATGAACATAATAAAAAACGGAAGTTAAATGAATTTATGTGTAATTTGAGAAGTACACGTGGCGTGAAAAACAAAAAAAAAAGTAACAAAAAATATATAGCGAGCAAATTAACGCACATACAGAACATTCAAAATCACGGGAAATAAAATTATAGATTGATGTGATTAAGAAATGTATGATGTATTAGAGCAAATATATTGGCAAAAAATGTTCGTCGACGACTTCGTTTATTTTATATTTCATTTGACCAGTGCTTGAGCACTATCGTTATTGGTCGCGAATCGAATTTTTGTAAATGAATGCATTGCATGTTAGCTGAATTTTTAGTGAGCATGCTTCCCGTTCTCCCGTCGAGAAACACAACTTAATCTGATCACAAAACAAAAAAACAGGAGAGAATATGGAATAGAAAAACATGTCAGCAGAAGAAAAAAAAAACCGGACACGCAAAGCATGTTCGTGCAATAATTTCACAAATGCCCTGTCTCTCCTACGAAATTCTGTAAAGCCGTTCGTTCGTTTGGAAGTAAGAAAAAACGGTGGTTGAAAATGTGAGCACAAGCGACGCAAACAATATTATAATTATGTGTGTCGCAATTTTTTTTTTAATTTGACATAGGAAATGCGAATTCTTTCATTTGTTATTATTGTATTAGTAGAAAGGAGGAGGTAGATCGAAGGAAAAAAGTGGCATTTTCATCTAATCACACTGTATTTGTTGCTTTTTATATTATGTTCTCTAATATGTGAAATGTAGGTGTATTGGGGTGTGTATACGTTAATTATTAATTAAAAATTTCTTGTTCATTCCCTAATTATGATAGCTGGTAAATATTAAGTTCAACGTTCAGCCGTTGTGAAACCCAACGATGCTATTTTTAACTATGGCCATTTTTTTGTTTGTTAATTTTAATTCGCTATTGTGATTATCGGAGGTGGCAAGAGGTTTTTATTTGTTACATTTTTTTTTTGTTGCTCGATTATACTCTATTCTTTTTTTTAATGATTATTATTTGTTACTATTCACGATAATTTAGTGTTGGACATTTCACCCTCTATTTCCATTGCATAAATAATATGGTTGTTGTTATTTTTCTTCATTAAGTTGCTTGCAGTACACGACACTTTTTTATAGATATATATATATACTTTATTGTTTTTTTTATTATTTTTTTTTTGTGTAAATTTTTTTTTCTTCATAACATGCGATTATATGTGAAAAGAGAGAATAGCAACAATTTCACAAAAATTGAGCTAGAAAAGAATAATATGTGTGTTTTGTTGATTTCATTGATGTTGACACGTTAGCTGGTGTTGTTTTTAAAGAATTGAGAGTAAGAATTAAGTAAAAATTGGCCACTTTATAGTAAAGATGGATTATTATTATTCAATTGTTTTTTTTTTTTGTATAGATGTGTGTGCCGGTGTATTTAAATGTGTTTTGTTCGAACGAATTAGTTTATCGATTAATGATGGATGCTTTAAATATGCCATAGATAGAGAGAGAAATGTATAGTGCAAACGTTTTTTTTTTAGCAACCATATAGTTAATTATTGTATTAATATAAGTAATCGAGTTTTCATTTTTTCGACGCAGAATTCGATGGCGGAAGATTCGATCCCGAAGTGCTGCTGTCACTGGAACATTGTAACGATGACGACGATGTTGTCATTTGTGTGGTTGATAATTGTGATTGACTAAGAGCTGGATCACGAGCTGCTGATGCAGAGGTACCAGCACCACCGGCACCACCACCACCTCCGCTGTTGTTGCTGCTGCTATTTAAAGCCATTCGTTGCATTTGACGTATAACCGTTGCGGCGTGATATGCTTGCTGAAATAACACAAAAACCACATCATCACACCGAACGGATTAGCTAACGTTTCTATATTTTTTCTTTCACACGCACTCATGCACACATACACAGAGGGAATGTCACAAAATCTGTGTTTTCTTCTGTTTTACACAATGTTTATCATTCTCATGCAATTTAATGGGGTTGCCACTTTGGGGCTAAGCATTCACTTTAAAATTTATGTATATAAACAATGTTGCAACAATGTCAATAGAGCTTACCTTCCATCGTGACTTTGCAAAAGTTTTCTTAAGCTGTTCAGAAACGGTACCATGAATGTTCTTGTCACTGGCTTCATTGCCTGATATCCTATACACCACAATATACAAAACACATGAATAAAATGTATTACACAAATTGTGTGTGTGTTTTTTTTTCTTCTCGTATTTATATTAAATTGCAGTACGATATAAAATGTTGAAGGTGACAAGTACACAAATGAACACACTTACCATGGATGAGCTAAAGCTTGTTTACATGTATAACGTTTATCTACATTAACACACATTAAATTTTGAATAAAATCCTTGGCCGAATCGCTGATTTCATCCCAGTACGGTGAATCGAATTCAAATTCACCTTTCAAAATTTGTGCAAATAAATTTGCATCATTTTCATCATAGAATGGCGGATAACCACACAGTAAAATGTACGATATAACACCTATGCTCCAGACATCGACCGCTTTACCGTACGGTTTTTGTGCCAATACTTCGGGCGCAACATAACCGGGTGTACCACAGGCCGTGGCCATTATGCCAGAATCTTCCATTTTTGATAAACCAAAATCACTTATCATTATCTTACTGTCCTCATCCGCACTGTAGTACAGCAAATTTTCCGGCTAAATGGTACCCCCGTGATAACCGAGCACCGACAAAAAATAAAATAGAAAAACACACAAACACCGGAAATTAATATTGGCTGTATAAAAATCAAACGATAGTATTTCTGTGATTGAACGTCAATTCATTTATTCGTTTCGTGTTTTGTTTACCTTTAAGTCTCGATGCACAACGCCTTGTTCATGCATGTAATCCACAGCCTCAAGAACTTGCCGAATCAAACCGGATGCATCCTTTTCCGTGTACGAGCCCTTTTCAACGATACGATCGAACAGTTCGCCGCCGGTAACTCTAACAAATGAAAAAAATAAACACACACACACACGCATCATGTATAAAAGAACAATAACGATTGAAGAGTTTATTTTATCAATTATGTTTGTTATACTTACAATTCCATAACTAAGTAGACCTTGTTTTTATCTTCATAGGTCTCCAGTAATTGAACTATATTCGGATGAGTTAATCTAGATAAGATAAAAATGGGGAAAAGGCAAGAAAAAAAAACAAGAATTCAATTGTCAATATTTATCGATAATTAAAATGTCTCTAAACGAATGAATGCTTCATTCGAAATTTTTAAAATAGAAATTGTTTGTTTGTTTGAATTTCGAGTAGAAAACAAAATATATCTATATAAAGAGATAAGCTTTATCTCTGTTGCTTTTTTCTCTCTTTTGAATAGCGCTACAGCATCGAATTTTATAATACAATTTCCGTAATCCAAGTGATTCAATGAATGCTGAAAATTGTTTATAAATATCGTATGGTGTAAGCTTGATGGCAGAAAAGAAAAAAAGCCTGAGTGAAAATGAGACATTCACTCTATGTCTCCGTCGAGAATTGATTTGATATTCTAAGTGTTTTTTGTGTGTAAATGTGTTTTGTATGTGAATATGTATGTTCTCAAATTGAATTTCATTGTACGTCCGATTATCTTTCGAAATACAGAGACAGCACAATTTTGAAATTTGTCGCTCCCTGGGACAGAGAAAGAGGGAGTGAAAAAGTGAAAAAGAAAGCAAGAGAAAAACAAAGTGTTTAGCTGATTTGTTTTTGTTTTTGTTTTTTTCAAGCAAACGAAATCAAAATAATAAACCACACAGCCTATTTCTATATATATACAGCCTGAATTTCTCTGTTTGATCAAGATATCGCCCCCGTCTCGTACAACGAAATGTGAAGAAAATATACATCGCATTTTGCTCATTTAAATGAGTATTTTTTGAATGAAGATTTGTTTCCTTCTGCCTAATTGTGTTGTTGTTTTTTTTTTTTTGGTTTTTCATCTAACATTTTCAGTTTGTGAATTCTAACATGCCTATTGATTATTTGTTTCTGTGTAAGTGTGTCCCTTAAAAATGTTTCTTAAGGATAATGTTGTAATGTAAAGAATATATATATGTGTGTGTATATCTCAATGAGTGTATTTATCCAATTTTTGTAAAACAAAAGTTTGTGTTTTTGTTTGGCAGTTTGGGTGTTTTTTTGTTTTTTTTTTTTGGGGGGGTTCATGTCATCACTCACCGCGGACCGTCTACATTTCCGTCGCCACCATCATTCTGATTAGCACTGAACCTGAGAAAAGAAAGAATAGAGAGTATGGCCAACAGAAAAATAAAGAAAAAAAACTAAAAATATTAACTAAAATAGTACAATCAAACGCAATCCAAGATGAAAAACAAATCTCAATGGGGATGGGTGGGAAATTTGAGAATGAAAAATATTTGAGTGATACAGGAAATGTGAATTCTCTGCAGCAGTTTTGCAACCGCAACCTGTTGGTAGCATGTGTCAAAAATGATCTGGTTAAAAGTTAAAGACTGTGAATGGGATGAAATACACATAGATAGTTCCACTCGAAAATATCGGGTGATTTGAACTTATCTGTGGGGTAGTAAAAAAAAACATTCGAAAAGCGCAATGGGATGATAGACAGAATGATATAAAAACTAAAAAAATAAGGAAAAAAAAACAGAGACTGATAGAGAGGTAGAAAAGTGATTGAGTGACAGATAGTGAGTGAAGTAGAGTGTGAGGTAATTTTTTTTTTGGTTTTGGGATTTCGGTGCACAAACAGGTATTATACATTCAATGAGAGGTTAGAGGTAAGCGCATACGACACAGATATCTTTTACATTCTATTAGATAAGACAAACGATGGTGTATTTTTGTTTCTCTTGATTATACGTGCGTGGTATTTATGACTATGTTATTTTTTCAAACAATCCTCAACTCTGCTCCTCGAGAGCATATGTAAAGGGACATCCTCGGAATACTACAAATGTAATTATATGTATGCCAACGATATAGATATGTGCTCAAGCCTCATTACACATAAAAGATGCCAAATACAAAAATTAACACAAACCATTTGTACCATACTCACACACACATAAATGTCGAAATGTGAATATGCCAGGAATGTTTGTGCTTTTCCAACTCGAAAATTGGAAAAGCTCTGCTTGAATCACAAACTTTGTTTCGAAAAACTCATGCGGTTCTTTTGTGCAAAAAATCCCTCACCGAACTCCGTTCAAATTTGGCTCAAAACCAAATCAACACCAAAAAATAACTAATTACATAAAAATAAAAATCATCATTCATGCGCTTTTTTTTGCTTACAAAATGGATTGCTCAATTTTATAAACATAATATTGAACTATTTTTAGAGGCCACAACAACAATAATGGGTGAAAGAAAAAAACGTCGAGTTGCGTAATTAGTTTTCCTTAATTTAATACCATGAAGCCAATTGAATGGCCTCTCCCCCAAAAAAAAAGATGAATGGAAATAAACGTGTGAAAGTTCTACTATTTTTACAGTATGATTGAAAAATGTGGGAGTAAATGCCATGGCTGAATAAACAAATCACTGGAACCGAGAGAATGACGATAAGAGAATTTGAAAAAAAAAGAGAAAACGACCGGAAAAATGGAAACATTTTTTTTTGTTACGGATGATGATGTTAAATGGTTGCATATGCTCGACGGGTGTGCTTTAAATATTTGAAGAAAATGAATGTCGAATGAAGTGACGAAAGAAAAAAGAACAACACGAAAAGTTATTATTATTAAATGAAATGAATGGAAATATACAGTGATGAACATCAATCAAATTGTAATCATATACATAAAGTGTTCATTAGCCCGATTGTTATTTCATTTAAGGAACTGTCTTGCACGCTCGCAGTTTTCTTCACATCCCATGCTGTTGGTTTCATTTTCCTCCGTTTTTACTACCATGCTCGTGTTGGGTACATCGATACGATATATGTTCGTAGTCTTGTAATACATACACTTGTTTCGAATGAAACAAAACCAAAACAGTTAAAGGGAAAAAGAGATTTGGGTAATATGCCTCCCATTCACTTTCTACTGGATATTACCTTCATTGCCGTTTTGCTTGGCATGATAACGTAACTAAAAAAAAACAAACATTTTCACCATTTTTTGCGAGCTCAACTCCGGCTTAAACAGCAACATTTATACTCAATTATTCATAAGCTTAAATACCTTTTTACATTCTACGTAAATAAAATATCATTCAATGTGCTAACATGTTTTTGGTGGTGATATTGAATGCACGACCGACCAATAAATAAATGTATATAAATCAAGCGAAATAAATCATAAGAACGAAGAAAGAAAAAAATGTAGAAAAAAAACGTGTTGTGTAGCAAGATTTTTTTTTTGGGTTGAATGATGGATAAGACGAGCGATATCTTCATCTAAATGAAGTGTTTGTTCTATGGAAAAACGTGCAAACGATTATCAAAAAACAGACACAAAAGACTGTGACTAAGAAAGCGGCACACTGTACGAGATGTATTGTATTCGACTCATCACCACCGGTAAATACTATGCAAACATGAGCAGTGCGTCTCCGGGGTGAGTTTCGTTTTCAATTCATTCATTATCGGGTAGTATCGTTTGATGAATAAGAGAAAAAAACATGCATTTCGATTTGAGGAAAATCTTGAACCGCACACACACCCACACACACAATACTCCAAATTTAATCATCGCTTTAGACCAAAAGGACACAAATTCTGTTCTTCTATCCATCGAGTTTCGATTTCAATGATGATAGCACACGCACTTGTTGTATATATGTTAGAGAGCGTGTATAAAAGCTTTTGATTATGAAGAGATTCATCGCGACCAGAGTGCTGCTCTTTCTTTCGAACACCATATTCATTTGGAAATTAGTTGATTATATCCGGAGCTAATTTAGTTATAGACAAAGAAAAACCGCAAAAGCAAAACGACCAAAATACAAATCATTCGATGATTGGTGCAAGGAACAACGTTTGAGATAGCTGCGTAGCAATTAGTTCAATTTCTTAAGTAGAATTGGTGAATGGCCCTGAAGTAGGTAAGAAATAATAATACGAAATTAAAAAAAAAGTTGTTCATTAAATGCTACCGTCCCGATAATAATGGACCCGTTGACAAAGACGATCGGTTTACAAATTTTCTTTTCGCCTTTTGCTTCCATTCGTTATCACCTCAGAAAGAGAAATTAAAGCGAAATCTCAACCGATATTTCATAATTAACAGCATAACAACATTCTGATAAAGTGGGATAATTACGGAATAGATAAAAAAAACGAGACAAAATCAATGAAAAAAGAGAATTCCAATTTATGTTGCAGGTTAATTAATTTGACACGGAAACCCAACATTGATTGTGTATGTGAACATGACGATGCAGAAAAATTGTCCAAAATACCACATCGCACCAACAACAAAAACTAACTGATTCATTTGCAAATAAACACAGTCATACTATATCTATCAAATGTACATTGGCTAAATGTCATTGTTAATAAATGAGAATGAGTATGTGTGTGTGAAATGAGACGAGGCAAACGCAAATTATCACGCATTGTTCGAGCCCGAAAAAAACATCCATTCAATTAGTGCCAAATATTTATATCCGTTTTGATTAACATTTAACAGTGTTGAAATGAAAAGAATGAGCAGCCAAAGGAAATAGCAAAAAATAAATAAATGGCACATCCCGTTAAATCCAACAATGTAAAAACGGATATGATGAAAATGACAAATGAAAAAAAATTGAATGTGAAAGTGATTATGAATTTGTTATATTGGCGCACGTATTGAAGCAGATAGTAAAAATGTATTTTTAAATGGTTTTGATTAGGTATTCAATCAACACGTGGAGGATTTTGTTTGTGTATGTGTGTGTGTGTTTGGATGGGTCGGTGGCGGACGGTTAATAACAATCTATTAAAATTTATGTTTAACTAGTAATATTCAATGTGTTTGCTTTAATTGTAAAAAAAACATAAATTTATATTAATTAATCATTTCGATTTGGTTATTTGTTATTATCACCTCTGTGTGTTGTTTTGTTTATTGTTAAAAATCATTTGAACTGTGTGCGGTGTGTGTACAAGTGTTCATTTTAATTGCCCAATTTAAACTAAAAACGTTTGAAA